TTTACCGTATTATAGTCTCCTTTAAGACGACAAGACTTTTACAGTCTAATATAAATTAATTCAAATCATTTTTTAAACTGATTAACTCCTCCAATAACCACCACTGTACTATTAACAAGAATTAAATTCGTCTACAAAATTTACCTTAAATACATAAATATTCATCTATTTATAAATAAAACAAGTAGACTTAATTTAGCATTTATTTGAAAAAGCCATTTTTAAACATAGTTGGCTGAGTGTGTTCAATAAGAGATACGAAGAAGATTAAAATTTCTGTTTTTGTTTTCTTCGGTCGTGTTGGATTCCATTTGCGTTGTTTCTTTATCAAGGAATCAGCCAGGGAAGAAAGAAGAATTCAGGTTTTCATACAAAACATGCATTTCGCACGTTTCGACTCTTCTGTAGTCGTCTTCAAGGGGTATATATATAGGATGTTTCGCTATAAGATGCAAAAATTATTTTAATTAAGTCTTCAATAGGAATAAGTTTTCCTACGACACAAGTTCATTGGGAGGGATTGATCTTTCGTTCTCGAAACTTAATATATCAATCCTACTAAGCCATACCATTTTAAAGGTTAAGATGAACTAGTTTTTTTGTGAAATTCGCCAATCTCAGGGATGTCTTGTCACAGTTAGTAAATTTGAGAAATTATAAAAGATTTACCAATGTTGAATTTTTTAGGCCTGAGCCAGCGGAAGGGCAATCAGTTTTGCTGAAAGTGTTCAATAGACACTTTCTTTTAGAAAATTAAGCGCTCAATAAAATATACCCCGATTTCAATGAAAAATGTATAAGTAAAGGAGAATACATGGTTTAGTGAGAAAAAATCCTGTTTTTTTTTCAGAGAGGAAAAAAAGAAAGAAAAATGTATCTTCTGAATGGAATGAATTTATAAACCCGTTTTTGCGGCATTCTAATCCATTTGCAGCCTACTATTACCCAATTCTTTGCATGACATAGGAAACCATCTGAACATTTATTACCGTTCACAAAGCCTTTTAGTTGTGCGCACTTTTACGAATTTAAATCGAGAAAGGAAAGATGCGTGCGAGAAAGAGATGGATCGGTATAAAGATAAAAGGGGGAGAAAGTGGGAGTGAGATAGATAGTTAGATAGATAGATAGATAGATGAGAGAGAGAGAGAGATAGAGAGAGAGAGAGAGAGAGAGAGAGAGAGAGAGAGAGAGAGAGAGAGAGAGAATTTAATAAAGGACAAACGATCTCGACAAATCTGTTACAAGTTATCTTTAGGTGCAGTAGTACGTAGTTGATTCAAGTTTGCGCCCAGCCTAATATTGTAGGACGAACGACTCCGACAAAATTCTCATATGAGAACTCAGGTCGAACAACTTTCAACGAACTTCGAGAAAAAGTAATAATTACAAAGTAAACGGAGAATGAATAAGTAAAACTAAAAAATAAAGTAATAATAACAATGAATACTGAAAACGAACGTTTTTATTGTACACCAGTAGTCATAATGTTCTCAACTGACATGTTTCAGCTATGGAACAAATGCAAGCCTCTGTTAAAGTTTTGGATAAGTCTGTTCAAATTATAAATTATATCAAGTCGTGGCCATTGAAATCGAGACTTTTCACAATACTATATATCGATATGGGAAGACTTCATCATTCCCAGCTTCACCAAGCTGAAATTCTTGTGCGAAATAATTTTCACGATTACAGGAATTTGAAGTCTTATAGATAAGTTGATGGACCACAATGTCAAATTGTCCAACGTTTTCAATGATGAGAAATGACAACGTATACTATCGTATTTATAAGATATTTTCATTAAAATGAATGAGATGAGCCTTTCTTTGCATGGGAAGAGTACCACAACTTCCGATGCTAGACAACGTCAACGCCTTCAAAAGAAAAATCCAGTTTTGGGTTGAATCTGTTGAAAAGGAAGAGACGGACTGTTTTCTCGTGTTAAATCATTTTTTTTTAAAGAAAACAAATTGCAGCTTGCGAACAGCACGTTGATTGATGAAATATATGAACACATTTGAAGTTGGGAGATGTCCTTTTGACCACTATACAGTAGACATAAACGCTGCAAGACCGAAAATGGGTGGTCAAACCGTTTTCCGACAAAGCCAACCAATCTTCAAGTGATACGAATGTTTGATAGACATTACTTCAGACACCACCTTCAAATCTATTTTTGAGTCCCAAATTACCCCCATTTTTGACTCCGTCTGGAAAACAAATATTTTTAACCACTCGATGAAAGAGCAAAATGTGTTCTTCCATTAGTCACAAGTTATCTATGAGGATTTTCTATATATACAGCCACCAAAACTAAATACCGAAGCTGTCTATATGATGAACCCGACATCCGTCTCCAGCCATCAAAAATTAAACCCCACATCCAAATTTTAAGCTAAAATAACCTCCCTCTTCCCATAAATTCATTAATGTTCAAATTAATACTTTTGACATTGCCTCGAGTTTTACAAACCTATTGATACCGTTCTATCCAATTTAATTTTTGTGTTCCGGATTTTGTAAAATTAACTTAAAAGTATGTCAATCTAAAGTTTGTTTTCATAGTGATATCCCTCTCCATCACCTAATCAGGAATGGACTGGCTAATGCTAATTTATAAAAATTTAATTTACTACATATACTATAAACATCTAATTTTAAATACTTGAATGTGAGGGGTACGCCCTGGATTTTGTTCTGTGAAAAGAGACCGCTGGCTAAAAAGTTTGAGAAACCTTGAACTAAGTTGTCCGGAGGTCTCTTCCAATGTGAGCGCAGCTTAATGAAGGACAAACGACCTCTACAAATCTGTTCCAATGTGACAGCTCAAATCTTACATCTAAATTGTCCATACGTGCAATCGGTTCCGGTGTAAGACCAGCCTACTAAGTGAATGTAGCAGGCTCTTGCAACTAGGAGAAGAAAAACCACAAACAAGAGCCTACACCAAGGAACCGCTGGCAAAGCTGTGGGGGCTTGTTAATAGCCTGAAGCTGGCCAGTGAGTTATAATTAACAGAGATGCAATAGGCCTTGTGGCCGCCTCTCTTATCCCTATCCCTATCCCTAAGAGAATGTAGTTTAGTTGTTATTTTATTTATATTATTAAAAGGAAAAAGCCTATTGATTCTTCTTTTCTTCATTTCTTTGTGTTTTCTTAATCAATAAATTATTACCTTTAACTAAGTAAAACAACCAGCCCATTCATTTTTAAAATATGTAAAAAAAACACCTACAAGTAAGAAATAACGGCTAAACCACAACAACCACTTAATGTAGGTTAATCAACAACCGACAAATCTGTTCCAATATGAGAGCTCAGGTCGTAGGATTGATTGTAAGTCAGATTTGATCGTCCGCATAAGTCCTACTAGGGAGAAACTTTCCCAACCTATGGAATGTAATCAGCCCTCTCAAACCGACTTTAGTGACAAATATCTGTTCCAATTTGAGAGCTCAGGTCGTACAACTAAGTCATCCGTTGGTGCAGTAATACGTAGTCGGTTCAAGCGTGATACAAGCCTGAGAGGGTCAAACTTCTCCCACACATCTGTTATAATGCTCAAGTCGTACTTAGTCGATAGCAAGGCCAACCTAATAACGGCCAAACTGGACCGAAAAATCTGTTCCAATATCAGAATTAAGTCATACGATTAATTGTAAGTTATCGGTAGTTGCAGTTATAGTAGTCAGTTCAAGTGGGAAACCAGCCCACTGAAAGACAAAGGAACGTGACAAATCTGTTCCAACAGTAGAGCTTAGGTCGTACGTTGTTGTCCACAGTTGCACAAGGGTGGTATGAAACCGGCTTAAAGGGGTATTTAGTGAAAAGAGGGGAGAGAGAGAGAGGAGAGAGAGAGAGGAGGGAGAGAGAGAGAGAGAGAGAGGGAGAGGGAGAGGGAGAGAGAGAGAGAGAGAGCGACCTTATATCAATCAAAAACCTTATATAAANGAGAGAGAGAGAGGAGAGAGAGGAGAGAGAGGAGAGAGAGGAGAGAGAGGAGAGAGAGAGAGAGATTTTGTTTTTCAAAACGGATTAACAATCTCAGATAATCCTCGTCGAGAAACAACCTGTTTGAAGTACATGATACAACAAGTACATGATGAAGAACATGATCCAAAAATAAGAAGAATAGAGACGAAATTCTTCTTAAAGAAACTTTCCGTGCTTTTTTTCTCTAAAAGGAAACAAATAGGTAAATTTGAAAATAAGACACATCTGCCCCCAACGTCTATAAAACTTACGCGGATAACGGAGTTGGATTTATACATTAAATTAGATTATTCTAATAACTTAAGATTTATTATTTTCCCTTGGCTTTCATGTGTAATTTTGTCTTGTAACAGAACATCTATGTTCTCTTTTTTTGTGACATCCCGAATCTTCAAGTGTGCGTGGGGCGTAATTTGTTGCACTTAATTTATGAGCCATTCATACTTAAGAAACATTAAAAGAATAACAATCACTTTAAGTAAAGGATTTTTATTATTTCATATTTCGCGCTTTTTTAATTCTTTGAATATCTTAGTTGCCATATAAAAAAAATGTACGCTTGTGTAAAAAATATATTTATTTAGTGATAATCTTGACTTTAATTATTTGCAAATCGTATTTATAAAGTATGCCTATAATTTTTAATAAAAAATATCAATCCTTTTTTAAAAATAATTTTTGGGTGAATCTTCCATGTTGTTTTGATCCAGTACAATAACCTTCTTAAATTTAAAAACAATAAATGTCATAATAAACATAAAAGTTGGGCTTATGTTTTGAGTTTTGACGTTGTCAGTACTCAAATGGAGTGAAGTCGCCACTCTGAACCAAAACAGTGCATAATTTTTAGTTTTGATCGACCCGAGGTTGAATAGTTTTTGCTTGGAAACACTTGTCAACATGCAACATACAATTCAAAAGTTCCCAGGATGTAAATTTTAAAGAGGACAAGCAGTGGGAAAGCAGGCGGTGAAGGAAAACAGATGAACCTCAACATGACATACCTGCGATTGTGAAACGGTCCATGTAATTGATGAGGTTGACATAGCATAGGACGCCGATGGTGATCCAGGATCTAACAGAGACCGGCGGCCGGACGCCCTCGGCCGACTGGCTCGGGTTGAGGAGGCTCGGAACGGAGTCGACACCGTCGTCGTTCATCAGATGCTGCTGGGAGTTGTTCGCCGGTATGCTGACCGTCTCCATGCTGATCGCTTTCAACGAATACTTATCCGCGTACTTTTGAGCCGGCATGCTTATCGTCTACAACGTATCGGTACGGATAACGGGCTCCATCTAAGGAAAATCGCCCGCCCATCTTTCCCATCTTGGAGCGTGACGTAGCACGTGATACCGGAGCCCAGGCTGGCCAACGGCGTCGCTCTCATTTCCCACTCGCTACACTCAATGCCACCAACTTTTTCATTTGGGCGCAAATTTTGAAATTTTAAAATAGTTTTCATTTGACAACAAAAATTTTATGCAGCCATAGGAAGACATTAATTTTTGAATAATTAAATTAAGAGATTGTCTATAAGTTTCATACTCCAACACCTGTTAAACCAGATAATAACCATTACTTAAATGATGAATCTCTTATACTCGTTGAAATTTACGAATTCAATAATTTTACAAATTATTACAATACAATATTTTTTTGGCCCATTGTAAATCAAAAACCTACTCGAAAACCTCTGAAAACACTTGGATTTTTAATTTGCACACAAATTCTTTCAGAAATGTATGGTGTTTAGTGGCCGTTAGTTAATGATTATTTAGGGATCGTGAGATGCGGTCTGTTGTGATGTGGGTTTAGAAAAACATTTTCTTTATTGTGGCACGATTTCACACTTTCAGAAATATTAAAATACAGAAACACTTCATTTCTCTTGATTGCCCTACATTTAAATTCTCTTCGTCTGTTTTCCTTATTACTCCTCTCAAATCAATAATATTGAAATGGTCCATCACTGCTCTTGCAGATAATGTAATGGATTTTTACTTTCATTGTGATTATAACTGTTATGACAATATGGACACTCTCAAAGCAAGGAGGATATATTTATTAAAACATTTGCTCTCCCGCCATAAATTCCTTTCCTACATAAATTTCAATACTCTTGCCATTTGGGATTGCATAAAGATGTTAGGGACAACAACAAAACCACCTTGGCTGAAGGAAAGTTAATCAGTACACCTATCGACAACCCTTTCTTGGCATACCAAATTGCCAAAAATGTAAATGCGTCAGACTTGGCAACAGTGGGAATCTATCCCATGACCATGGGAGGCAAACGTGCTAACCACTCGGCTACCCCAGTTCATTGTATTCAAGTTGCATGTGAAAAATTTCATTAAAGGACCACTGCAGTGGCTACTACTAAACCTAGGACATGCCAAAACTCTAATAACTACAGGGGCACAAATACACTTTGAGCAGCAGAATCATGCCAGGATGAACAAGAATCAAAGGAACATAACCTCCGTTGGTCAAAGGTTGAGAGTCCTACTTCTGGGAGAGAAAAAGCCAAAGCCTGAAAGATACAAACAGAACCCCTTAACAAAGCTTTTGGATCTGCTAAGAATCCCAAGCTTATGAAATAGCTCTAGATAATAATGGGTATTGCACGATAGACCAATGTTAATTGCAGTGCAAAGAGGCTGATTCCTTTTAACCTTAATATTAACCTTAGTGTTTTGCCTAGCAATGGAATATATCCCAAACACTTAAAGAATTGTAAAAATGGTCTTTATTCCAACTACATGAAGGTTAATAACCCTTTTTACACAAAACACTTGAGAGGCTAGATAAAATTTACTGAAGGAACCTACAACAGTCCTTTTGAAGCATCACAAATGTTAACAAAGAACATCTTAACAAGAGAACAACTTAACTAGAGTCCTTTTGAAGCCAAAAATCAAGTCTTACCGGTTAACTATAAAAAATAAGGATTCACCAAACAATTAAGAAATAGGATTAGGAACTTATTTGGCTGAAGGAACCTGTGAAGATTCCCAAAAGAGAATCTTAAACAGGTTTATCTATAAATTAAATTAATTGTAAATATTAAGATTAAAAGTAGGAATATTTCATTAGGAAAGGGTATTGTGTAAGATTGGCAATTGCAAGTGGCCTGGAATCTCAGAAGCCGACCCCGCCTTTCTCGTAAACTTCAGACGTAAACAAAGCTGGCAAAATGGTAACAGCTGGATGTTGCGAAATGTGGGTCGATCCTGGGCAATCGCCCTAGAAGAATTTACTGTTGTGCTCACTAGTGGCCTTATTGCTCAACCCTCAGGATTAGCTAATGCCAGGACTCATCCAGAATTGCTCAATGACCTGGGGAGAACAAGGGCAGTCGGGTCACCAGGAAGCATAGCAGTATTTCCTAAGCATAACTGTCCCCCCACCTCCTCCTAGGATTGATTGATAAAAAAGGCAATCGAGTTCAGGCAGGTAGTCTGCAGTCAGTCAGTCGGAGAGTCCAGTAGAGTTAGACAGAGAGTCAAGTCAGTGCAGTTGAGTTGAATCAGTCAGAGAGTCCCATCGAGTAAACTAGGAGTTGAAAAAGTAGGGGCGGACAGTGGAGAGCTGTTGCAGTCGGGCCATCTCGGTAGGGCCCCCCCCCAAAGGGCCGTAGGAATAAGCCAGGAGTTGGCCAGGATCCGGTGAGAAGTTAGCCAGGAGGAGCCAAAGTCGAAGAGGAACAGGCCAGGATTTGGCGAGAAGTTCACCAGGAGGAGCCAAAAAGACAACGGTCAGAAATTCGCCCAAAGGAGCCGAAGTCGACCAAGAGTTGGCTCGGAGTAGGCCAGGTGTGGGCCCAGAGTAGGCCAGGATTGGCAAGAAGTTTGCCATGTTCATGTTTCTACTATGAATGCTGAAGTTTAAAAAGAGGTTAAATAGTTAGAAATTTACTTTGGCACAAACTCATTCTAGAACCTATAAAAGCCTGTCTTTTCTAATGTCGTACAATGTTGTAGAGTAGGGGTCATACCACTTTACAATATTTTTTCATACTATTCTCAATTATAAAAAGCCAAGGGTTGTGAGAGGAATAGAACTTCTAGAACTATGCTAGAACATCTAGCATAAAAATATGTGTCAAACACTCTAACAACTCATCTACTAAGGTTCACTATTTTCTATTAGTACCATTACAAAGGCTAGATGATTTTGAAACAAAAAAATATCAATAATCATACAAGACTGGTGCAACAATCTTCAGTTTATTTGTTAGGACTTTGTCCAACTGTTCTGTTTTGGTTTCTCAGCAGTGGTTGCTGTAAATGTTATTATTGTAAAAGTAAATGCTTCTTATAGCCTGGTATTACTAACTTTTCAGTTCGACAAAGCCTTTTTTATTATTATCTTTTATAAGGAGCACAGCAGATAATAAACCAGCGACTATCTATGAGAAAAAAAAGTATCAATTTTTGTTTGTAAAATTAAAACATGATATCTTACAAAAACAATAGATAGCAAAAAGACAACTTCGACTATAACATTTAAAGCTTTATTATCTCTGAATTTATCCAGAAATTCTTCATCTGAAACAGTACCATTATATGGGCTTATTTCTGGTATATTTTCAGACTGCAAATACAAATTGAAAAATTATTTAAACAAATTGATATAAATAGCCAATTTGATAGACCTTATTAAGAAATGATTTGGATGTTTCTATTTGCAACAACAAAACCAGGATACTGACACTGTCAGCAATGATTGACCATAAACGAATGTCATAACTGTACACTAGAATGCAAATGATATATTAATAATTTAGAGAGTAATAAATCTGTTAAGACAAAAATTATGAAAAATTGACATACCACTTTTGAACTCCAGAACCTATGGCCCAATGCCATACATACCATGTAGAGATACAATTATTAGTATTACACCGACTATGCCAATACTCCAATAAAACTCTGACTGGTTTATCTTATAGGATAGAATGTTAATCCATAGTTTTAAATTAAATATTTTCAGCAATGATGTTGCAGTGAAAAGAAACCCAACCCATTTATCTAAAAAATAAAAACTAATTTAATGTAGACAATGGTAGTGATTGGTAAGTAGTAAGTTGGTAAAGTAGACATTATTTCTCTAAATAAGGGATATCAACAACTTGAATATGCATACTATATACTGTATGTTGTTTTAAGTTAAATCAGGATGAGGCAACCCAATGAAATCTCACAATTTAAAAGCAAGTTTAGCATTATTGGATCATTCATTTATTTTAATTTAGTTAAGATGCCCCATTTAGAATTAAAAAAAACAAAAACACACATGTTAAAAAGTATTTATATTACAAATAATATAAAAAATCAGTACATATTTATTACATTAAGTACCTCTTCACATTGAGGTTAAGGTCAGAGCACTACCATGGTATTGTAATGATATAATAATACCAAGTTTCTAGTTTCTTTTTCTAAAATTTCACCACCATTTATCACCGTATTGAACTGAACTGCAACCACAAGCTGTAAATCTCAATCATGCTCATTCCTACTGACTGGTGGCATAAGTTCGTCGATTTGCATGCATTTACGAAAATACTTTTAACAAAATTATTCACAAATTTTGATCAACACACAACAAAATTTCTTAAGTTTATGTAACCATTTATCCCTAGGAGAATTAGCCATTGTTTGTTACGTATAGTGAAATGTTTGGTGGCCCTGAGAAGGGCCGTTGGAAATGATAGCAAGAAACAGATTAAGCGCTCTTTTCGGTCTTTTTTGGGAGAAGAACGGCTTGGATGTTGGGAAGGACACCACCCTGGGCGATGGTGACCCCGGAAAGAAGTTTATTTAACTCTTCATCATTCCTGACCGCCAGCTGAAGGTGACGGGGAATGATTCTGGTCTTCTTGTTGTCTCGTGCGGCGTTGCCTGCCAACTCAAGAACTTCAGCGGCCAAATATTCCATGACGGCTGCCAAATACACGGATGCACCCGCTCCAACCCTCTCAGCGTAGTGTCCTTTCTTTAGGAGTCTGTGGATTCTTCCAACTGGAAACTGAAGTCCCGCACGGGACGACCTGGTCTTTGCCTTTCCTTTCGTTTTTCCTCCTTTGCCACGTCCAGACATGTTGATTCGTTTACGTTCTTATCAAAATACTGAATAGTTCAATAAAAGCCAACCCAGGCTTAAATAGATACGGTACTGGATTCTGATTGGCTGCAGTTTAGCAGCTCCTAACCAGATTGATACAAGCGCCATCTGTTAGACGAACGTTCAGTTTCAGACCAGATCGCATCTCATGATTCCTAAATCATCTTTAATTATCGGTCACTTAATACTACACAGTTCAGGTTCAGGTTCTACCCCAATATGTGCGAAAGCCCGCCCTCGTATGACAGGAATTTAACATCTATTTATAGTTAAGTTGATATTAATCCTTTGTAAGGTATGATACAGTTTGACAAAAAACAATGATAAAAAATAGGGAGTTCATCGAAATATTATAAAAATAATTTGGTAATGGTAATAAAATAATGAAGTAGTTTAGAAAACATTTTTTAAATTTTTTGCCGAAGTACGATTTTATTCGGGTCATTTTCAGAGCCTTGGTGAATTACATACCATTGATGATAGGAAAAAATATAATACAGGTGTAAATTATGGATGGCTATCTACTGTAATAGTAAATATAAACTTTGCACCAAGTATTTCATACTAACATAAAGTGTTGTCAGTGGTGCCATATTAGTTTTGTGTTAAAATGTTGTGAAACGTGAATTTGTATTTTGCTGGTTTTAGATCATTGAGACTGAGTGGGGGACGCGGTGAATCTGGGAAATTGCTTTGATAATAGGCGGTTTTTTAACTCAGAGTCGATAATGGGGATTTTCTTGTCATTTGTCTTTGTGTAATTGGGTTGATGATTTTTACTTGGAGAATGTTTTGGGTAGTGCTGCTGCTTATGATTCTGTTAATTGTTTTTAGGGTAGTTGTTATGTAAGATTGAGTGAATATTTTTTAGATGAAAAGATTCATGACTTAGGGATATGATTTTGTTTAATAATTCTTAACCGTGTTTAAATTGTGTGTACGGGGTGGTGTGATGTTTAATTGTATATAGTTATGTCTATTTATTATATGTATCTAAAATATGAAGTCTTTTCATAGGACTTCGGAAGATCCTCTGAAAAGACTTCATGTTTCCAGCAGGTCGATAATCTAGTTCATCGTTATATCTAAAATAATTCATTCTTCACTAGCTGTGGCCATTTCATTAGTCGCCGATAATCAAATAGATTACACATTTGAAAAATGGCAAAAAGGAGGGAAAATTCAAAAGGTGGGAAGTTAGAGCCCGAGTGGATCCGGGATCGAAGTCACGATAGCTCAAGTGGTGGAGTAGCGGCGTATTTAGCCGAAGGTTCGAATCCCGCTCGTGACACTTTTTTTATCTCAACTAAAAACCTTACATAAAAAGATTAATTAATTGGTAATAGACCACTACTAAATATAATAGTTTAATAATAAAATTAGGGATGTCTGGACTACACTAAACCGCAACTCACGATCTCCGAATAAATTACGTTGATTCTTTATGAAAATCTACAAAAAATAACGTCTAAATTTTTCATAAAGAATAATTTATTTTTGTTTTAGTGAAAGCTTTTGGCGGCCCTGAAAAGGGCCGTTGAAAGAAGTAAACACAATTTACTTAGCGCTGGTATATTTGGTTACAGCCTTGGTCCCTTCAGAAACGGCGTGTTTCGCCAATTCTCCGGGAAGGAGAAGCCTGACAGCAGTCTGTATTTCCCGACTGGTGATGGTTTTCCTCTTGTTGTACTGGGAGAGACGTGAAGCTTCACCGGCGATCCTCTCGAAGATATCGTTGACGAACGAGTTCATGATGCTCATCGCCTTGGAAGAGACACCGGTGTCGGGATGGACCTGCTTCAACACTTTGTAAATGTAGATACCGTAGGATTGCTTCCTCCTCTTCTTTTTCTTCTTATCGGTCTTGGCGATGTTCTTCTGGGCCTTGCCGGCCTTCTTCATCGCTTTTCCAGTTGCTTTTGGCGGTGCCATGGTTGGAACTAGAAGACTGAATGAGGAACGAACGCCCCGTAACGTATTTATAACAAACCTGATTACCCCCACCACTCGCCTTGCCATTGAAATTCCGAATTCCTATTGGCCGCAAAGTGATTCGACATATTCATTGGTCGCAGAGTAGAAGTTGGAAATACGTTAAAACTATACCAACAGATAGCTCTAATGGTTATACATATTCCATTATTTGTGCAATTTCTCAATCAAAATAAAATTAATAATTTTATCATGACTATTTTTTAATGTTAATAAAAATAAGATCAATTTTTAACAATATAGTTATAACTTAAACAAATTAAAAGAAGTGTTTTTACCTTCCTGAGATTGTTTGCTGTACATAGCGAAATGATTTACATAATAAAAATTGGATTGTATTTTTAAGGATTTAATCTAATTTATCGATCTTACATTCAATCATAATAAAAAGAAAAAAATTGTTTACAAAGAAGTTTACAATAACAATGCCGAATGCCCAGTAACAACTAACAACCGTATACATAGTCTGTACAGTGGTTCCTTTAATTTTAAAACACATTTTGGATGAGAGGAGACGAAACAAAAAAATTTAACCTGAATCTGTTGGTGAATGACAATGAAAAAATTATTTGTTATAAAATTTTAGGAACGTATGCCATAAAGTGCTGATTCTTTGATTAGCTTTGATCTCTTTCTTTGTTAGACGATTCGTAAATGTTAGTTCATGGATCAAATTATTAATCCTTAAGGATCCTAGATATTTGTAGGTTTTTCTAGTAATTTTTGGTAATTTTGGAATCTAGCAATGTTAGAAATCCACATTGACCACTTACTTCAAGAGGATAATTACAAAAAATTTACTTGGTAGCCTAACTTAATATCTGTTAATTATGACAAAGTTTCCTGATATGTTTTAAACAATTTTACTTCTTACAAAGTTCCAATAATTGAATAAATAGTTTTACATAATTGATGCTAATTGCTATCCAGATTAAGCAAATTATCAATCTAATTTGAATTTTCAACTGTTTTATGCAATTTATACGTTTTTTTGTTGCTTAAATGAACAATCGTATAATTAAAAAACGAAAAATGGGCCATACTTAAAAGGTGTGGTTGGAAATATGATTAAATTTGTAATTTTAAAACAATTCTCTCAGAAAAAGTGCTGAATAAGTTAGAAATTTGTATTTGTAATTTTCATATGTTTTGTTTATAAATGTAGTAGAACACCGAACACATTTTTTAAAACATGGCTGAATATAATTTCTTAAGTTGTCCATATAAAATTAAAAAGATCTGAAACAAGAAACAACAAGACAAAACGAGGAAAAATAAAATGTAGAAACTTTTTCTCTCTTTCTCCCTCTTTCTCGCTCTCTCTCTCTCTCTCTCTCTCTCTCTCCTCACACGCACATATAAAGTAATTAAGTAATTAATTAAAAATTAATAATAATAGTAAATTAATTTAATTAAAAATACATATTACGCATCTACCTCATAACGAATGTAATAGATGGAAGGATTTGAAATAGCAGATTACGTAATACTAAAACGAAACAATTGTAGTAAATTTTACTCTGAAATTTATTCATTTAGCACATGATTTTGTTTAAGAAGATGAAAAATGCAACTAATACATTCTATTATCAGAGGGAGGCAAGAAGGACCACTTTAAATGGTTATATTGCTACAAAACACACTTTGATATACATAGGGATATATTTGTTTATCTAATAGATAATATATTGGGAATAAAAACAGATCTGGCGCGGTTATGTTGAAAATGGTTTAACCTAATTTTGGTCATGGGGAATAGAAGGGTACGTTATTAATTGCGTTAATTCCTTCTAATTAAACCCTTCTTTATCTAAAATTGTTTAGGATTGCAAAGAAGTTGAAGTAGTTTATTTTGGTATTTCAAAATTGGTTTGTATAGTTTAAATTCTCTTGAATATGCGACTAATTGTTCTTCAGTATAATCGCCTCACGACCTCGGTTGTCATCTTTGGGATTTATTTTACGAGCCGGAAACTACCGCCTGCGGCCAAATTTTCAAACGGACTCATAATAGAGAAATATTTCTTCAATTGTGAATGAAAACTGATAGTGCAAAATTAAAGAAAAGCTGGCAATCGATTAAAGACAAGTAGATGATTGTTTAAAGGAGGTGGAGTACTCTGGATAACAAGGTATATCTTCCTTAGAAAAAATCCCCTAGTGTAGAATTGTTGGATGAAATAGTGCACGAACTATTTAGGATTCGATTAAAATCGAGAATTTGTATAAAAATATTTTCTTCGTGGTAAAATTCCTAAGTAAAAAATAAAAAGAAACACTGGATAGTAGTTGGTAATGCATAATCTGAGATCTAGCGGGAGTGTTTTCGTTACGGTACATCCAACAAGTATATATACGCAGCCCCTGGTGTTGGAAGGACAAAATACGTTAAGGAACTGGTTGTCTACGTTCACCATGACTGAAACTGCAGTGGAAACACCCGTGGTAACTTCGAAGAAGGGAGTGAAAGTGAAGGCTACGAAGAAGGCTGCGGCCAAAACTGGGAAGCCGAATGTTCCTTCTCACCCGCCAACATCTCAGATGGTCGATTCTGCTATCAAGAATTTGAACGAGAAGGGAGGATCATCTTTACGTGCTGTGCGCAAATACATCGCTGCTCAGTACAAAGTTGACACTTCCAAGTCAACTCACATCAAGAAGTACCTGAAGAGCGCTGTCGCTTCAGGCAAACTTGTCCAGACCAAAGGCACTGGTGTGACTGGTTCGTTCAAGTTCCCGAGTAAGGACAAACCAGTGAAGAAACCTTCATCCAAGCCGAAGAAAACCACGAAAAGCCCTGCTAAAAAAGCAGTGGGTAAACCTAAAACTGTTGCTAAGAAGGTAGCGTCTAAACCCAAGCCGAAGAAATTGAAGGTCTCCACCGCTAAACCCACCAAGAAGACAGCTTCTCCCAAAAGGAAAGCACCAAAAAGGAAGTAAATTTTATCAAATTTATATTTACACTTGTGCTATTTTAAAGGCCCTTCTAAGGGCCAACAAATTCTCACTAAACAAAAACCAGTAATTTTAAATTTACAAAGATCGAGAGTACGAACTTCGAAAGACATTGCTTACTCGAAAATAAATTTGTGCGTGACTTGAAAACTGTCTCTGGGATTTTTACAATTGCCTTTTCACCTCAAAGAAAAAGACTCCTTATACAAAAATGTCTTTCTATACCGACTTCCTTCAAAATCCAACACAAATATAAAATAATATAAACAAATATAAATATAAAATATATAACACAAAACAGCAATATTTTCTTTGGTGTTTGATCAGCCTTCTCAGTTTAAAAATACTTTCCTAAAGGTAGATTGGGGATGAGGCCATGAAGACAGAAACAACATTTATTTTCTTGTCGAGCTTTGGGCAGAATATATGCCTTCATCAGGACTTCGAAAAAAATCGCTATATTATTATATCCGGCTATTCGTTATCTACACACGTGTACCTGTTCATATAATATAACGATTTTTTTCGAAGTCCTGATGAAGGCGATATATTCTGCCCAAAGCTCGACAAGAAAATAAATGTTGTTTCTGTCTTCATGGCCTCATCCCCAATCTACCTTTAGGAAAGTATATAAAACAGCAATATCTCAACACGACACGCAAGAATGACACAATTATGCAGAAAACAAACACTTTGAATTAGTAGAAATACTTTGATTGAATATAAAAAAATATTTTTTTGCATTGTATTGGGTTGTCCGGAAAATAATGCAGGATTTTGGTATTAAACAAAAAAAAAGAAACTAGTTACTTTAAAGCAATGTTCTTTAATCAANCATACAAATGAGTAATCCTGTAAACGTAAACAGAATATTTTATATAGATTTTTTTTAATGAAAACTTAAAATCCTGCATTATTTTCCGGACAACCCGATATATATTCACTGTTTTCCACATCCTACATGTTTTTGTTAAATTTAAACAATATAAATCCCAGCCCTGAAGATGATCTCAATAAAGATCAAAACTCAATTAATTAAGGTTTTTAGTTAAGATAAAAAAGTCAGTGTCACGAGCGGGATTCGAACACACGATCTTCGGCTAGATATGCCGCTGCTCTACCACTTGAGCTATCGTGACCTCGATCCACTCGGACACTAACTTCCCGTCTCAACTTCACCTTTTGAATTTTCCCTCCTGTTTACGCCAATGTAAATATTTTTATTTATTAATGGTTGGTTGGGAAATCTTATCCTTTATTATTTTAAATTTATCATTTTAAAAAAATTATAAAAACAGAAAATTTGTAAGGATCATGACGCTGGAGGTAGAAACAGGTCAATTTTCAGCAATCGTAGAAGGAGTGAGTCACTGCCTGGTCTTCGACCTGTACGTACGAACGTACATCAGCTGTCTTCAGCGAGTCTCTCCCGAGGACTCAACCCGTACGCACGAACGTACGTCAGCGGTCTCCAGTCTGTCGCTCTCTGGCTTCCGACGGGTACGAACGAACGCACATTTGACGTCGTCCGGCGAGTGGCTCTCAGACTCCAATCTCAAGCGCCAAATCGTTTGATCTTCACTGTCGTGAGTCGACAAGACCTTCGAACGTCCTTATTCTTTTAATTCAACATTGCCATTTTTTGTATTAACTTTCTCATAACCAACTCTATATATCTATATATTCGTTCACTTTGTTTTGTTTCTGGTCAGATTTTAGTTTCCGTATTTTTATCATAAATTGTCAGTTAATAAATTTAATCATCCAACGAATTATTCATTTTTTAACCTTAAGTCCTTTACAAAACAGCCGGCAACTATCCCTGGTAACGCCGGACTTGGAGGGTAGATATCCAATACTCACTCCCGCCGGCGTCTACGAAACATTGGTCCTCCGGGCCGGATAGTTGCGTAAGGGATTTAACGTTTGATACTATATTTTGATTTTCTGTGTAGTAGTTTTGTAGCGTTTAATTTTTAATTCTTTTAAATATTATTATTTTTTTTACATGTTCTACTATTTTTACATGTACTACTATTTTTTCTAAACGTTAACGTATCGCCCACTGTTTTGAAATATTGTAGATACCCGCAATTAGATATTATTTAAACGTTTATATACGCACATTAGTATTTCGTAACAACGGAATTGGTTCTCTGAACAAAGGAAATATCATGGTGAGTTTTCTTCCAATACAGCTCGATGAAAAAATAAAATTTTGGAAAGGAAACCTCCCTCAGCTTCATCATTTCTATAAATTTTTTAGTCAAAGGCTAAGGAATAACACATACCTCCACTTATTTAAAATCAGCCAGTATTTTAACTTTTAAAACTATATTATAAATTAAGACTTTCATTCTCGAAAATAAACAAATCAATCTCGTCCAATTCCCAATGCTTGTAAGTAAACCTACCCCAAAATTCATTCTTGCTCAATTAAATAAAAAGAACTGTGAACTCCCTTACAACGTTTTTTTTTTTTTTTTTATAATTTAATTTATTTATTTGTTACCTATACAGAATTGTATACCTATACAAATATGTACACATGCATGAAATATCACACAGCACAACACTAGCACTAATGCCAGCACTGCACCGGTAGGACACATGCTTTGAGGAGCCAGCCATTGCTGGCACTCAGTTTATATGATTAGGGATCAAGGAGGTCCCGAGGCCATCGTCGGTTGAGGCGTCGTGGTGGGTTGTCAGGATGGGAATGAGTGGATAGGGCTCGAGCCGTATGGTTAGGATGGTTTGAAAGGTTGGTATGGAAGGTTTGGAATCTGGACTGGATTAGTTCGTTGGCAAAAGGAATGTTGAGGTCTTTGTGGATAGTGAGGTTAGTGACATAATAGGGTGCTTTAACAATTTGTCTAAGGACTTTCGATTGGAAGGACTGGATGCGCTGGATATTGGAAGGCTTGGCGGTGCCCCACAATTCTACTCCATATGTCCATATTGGTCTTAGTAAAGTCTTGTATAGTGTTAGTTTTGTCTTAATTGTCAAAGTCGATTTCGGTCTTAAAAGTCTTCGTAGTAGTCCAAGTCTTGTATTAAGTTGCTGTTTTTTAAGTCTTGTGTGGGGATTCCACGTCAGTCTGCTGTCGAGATATAGTCCCAGGTATTTGACTTGAGTGGAAACTGGTATCTCTTTGTTGTTGATGTACAATGGAGGGCAAGACTGCTTTTTCAGCGTAAAAGTACACTGAGTGCATTTTTCTTCGTTCAGTCTTGTCCTCCATTTTTTACACCAGTCTTCGATAAGCTCAAGGTGTTCCTGGATGTTGGAGGTAGCTTGGACAGAATTCGAGTTGCAGGATAGGATTGCGGTGTCGTCCGCGTAGGTGGTGATAATAGTGTCAGGATGTGTTGGTAGGTCAGCAGTATAAATGATATATAGGACAGGACCAAGGATACTACCTTGCGGTATACCGGCCTGTGTCTGTTTGAGTTCTGAGAATTCATTGCCGCACCTCACTCTGAAACAGCGGTCAGTTAGGTAGGATTTCATTAAAAGGTAATAATGGGAGGGTAGGAAGCGCTTAAGTTTAAAAAGTATGCCTGGATGCCAGACCCTGTCGAAAGCCTGTGCTATGTCTAAGAACGCGCCCAGGCAATACTCTTTTTTTTCTAGGGCCGATGAGATGGTGTCGACTACTCTGAAGCATTGTTGGATAGTGGAGTGTTGGGGACGGAAACCGAATTGATGAGAGGGAATGATATTATAGGTGTCAAGGATTGGTATTAAACGTTTTAAGAGGAGTCGTTCTAGGATTTTGGACATTGCAGGAAGCAGGCTAATAGGTCTGTAGGATGAGATCTGGTTAGGGGGTTTGTGAGATTTAGGGATGAGAATAATGACGGAATATTTCCATAGGAGAGGGAAGTGAGTGGTTCGTAGGATTGCGTTATATATTGCGGTTAAAAATAGGATGGCCTTGTGTGGGAGGTTTCGCAGGATACTGAAGGTAATTAGGTCATGGCCAGCGGATTTTCTGCGTGGAGATTTGTGGATACGGTATTTTACTTCAGATGGATGAAATGGTTTCGGAGGGTGATGGAGAGGAAGTGGTATGTTAAGGTATTGCATTACTTGTTGTGCGTGAGAGGTATCATTTATGTCTTGATGAGGAGTGAAGGTGGATTCTAAATGGGATGCAAATAAGTTTGATTTCTCCTTGTCATCTCTGACCCAGGATCCGTTCGGTGATCGGATGGGGGAATTGACTGGGTTGTATTTTAATATTTTTTTGGTAGCGGACCAGAGGGAGTTATCTTGCGTGGAAAGGGATTTGAGGTATTTGTTGTACTGGGAGGAACGGTAGGAAGAGAGTTCTGTACGGACTAGCACAGTCAACTGGTTCAGTTTTCTTTTATAGGACGGGTAACGGTATTGTTGCCAACGCTTTCTAGCATGGCGTTTTTTGATTATAATGTCGCTTATAGGGAGCGGATATGGTATGGGAGATAATCGTTAGAGGGTAAGTTGTGAGTTCTAGGGGGGGATGAGGATTGTGCAATGGCATGTTGAATGGTATTGGTGAGTATTAATACTGCATCATCTACCTCTTGGGGGGATTTCATAGGAATGTTTAAATTTAAGGAGGAATTTACGTTTTCTTGGAAAAATTTCCAGTTAACTGTGCCATTCAAAAGGGATGGTTTTGTTGGTTTGGTAATTGGAGTTACGTTTAGAGTGAGGAGTACTGGGGAGTGATCAGAAGATAGGTCGTTTAAACACTGAATAGTTGGGGAGATGGATCCCAAGCCAGAGGCAACAAAGAAGTCCAATAGGTCTGGGAGACGATTGGGATCAGATGGCCAATATGTGGGTTGGTTAGGAGAGATAAAGGAATAATTATCTGTTAAAATGATATTTTGGAGAAGGCGTCCACGGGAATTTGCGATTCGGCTACCCCATTGCGGGTGCTTGGCATTGAAATCTCCCCCAGCCACAAACCGGCGTCCAAGGGAGCGAAAGATGGATTTTAATTGGGGAGGATATATGGGTACAGACGGGGTGCAATAAACTGCTGATAATATAAGTGGTGCGGAAGAGACGGGGAGGGATATTGAAGTCACTTGATGGGAGTTAGTGGATGTTGTGGAGTGAAGATTATGCTGTATGGATTGTCGGGCAAGGATTAATGAGCCACCTTGAGCCCGATTTCCACTAAAGTCACACCTATATGTTGTGTACCCTGTTATGTGAAAAACATGTCGGTCGCATAAGTGAGTCTCGGTGATAAGTGCTACGTCTATGTGTTTGTTTTTAAGTAGTGTTTCAAGTTCTTGTTTGTGCGTCAGTATTCCGTTTGAGTTCCAGAGTAGAACTGTGAGTGGTTTGGTGGGTACATGATTCATCGGGAAAGCTTGGGGAGGAGTTCACTTACAAGGGTTGTTAGGAGGGAGATGAGAGGAGTGATTAATGATTTAAAATCATTAAGGAAAGAGGTAAGATGGGGAATGATTTCCGTGTTTGGAGCTGGTGTAGTAGTTGGTATGGAGGTAGGTGCAGTGCTGGCTACATGAGCATAGCTGGAGGTGCGGGTCTTTGTGTTGGCCCAGACAGGTGGCGACGCCTTAGGGGCAGGTGTGTAAATGAAGGTCTCTCTGGGTGGATTTGCTGCGTTCTTGATTGTTGGATCTGGTACTGTTGGATGCGTCTTTCTTTTGGGAGGTAGCACTGGGAAGAGGGTCGAAGTCATCGTTGAGGGTTCTGGAGCTGTTGTTGCTTTAGGTTTGAGTGTCTCCTGTCTCAGCTTTCTCTGGGTTTGAAGCTCCCTGTGGGTGGTGCATCCTTTGTAATTAGCAGGGTGTGCCCCTCCACACAGTGCACACGTTGCAGGGATGTTTAGCGGCCTCGTACATTGTGTCGATTGATGTGGGCCTCCGCATCTGACGCATCTATGCGGGTGATTGCAGTATGTACGTGTGTGACCATAATCCTGGCATCTGGTGCACTGAGCAATGCTCGTGCGCATTCTGGGTTCCTCAACGTTGATTTTAGTGTATAGTAGATACTGCAGTTTAAATATGTCTTCACTATTTTTGTTTTTAGCGAGATCTACGAAGAATAAGGGTAAGGGTGTTTTTGAAATAGGATGCAGTACTTGATGCACCCTAATCACTGGAAACGTGTTTTTTATTAGTTCTTCCTTTATTTCTTCATTGGAAGTGGTCTGGTGTAGTCCTCTTATAACTACTCGGTAACATTTGTCTTCTTTAAGTTGATAACAGTGATAGTCGTAACTGTTTGTACACAAAAATTTCACTGCTTTGCGATAACTTTCGCTGTCATTTGTGTGCAGTAACAAATCATTCACACGAGATCGGCAGTAAAATTTGTCATTACCCAGTAAGACTTTTAATTGCTGACAAAATCGTGTAAAGTTCACGATGTTTTTTATCATAATAGGAGGCGGTTTCGGAAGAGATTTATCTATTTTTTCGTTCATTTGTGTAGTGCTCGTTGAAGTAGATGGTATTACAGGAGGTTGAATTGGAGAAGTGGTGTTCCTTGTTCCTTTTATTAATTTGTTTTTAGGGGAATTATTCACGCTCCCGCTTTTTTTATAGCGTCTTTTCCGTCGTTCCCTAGTGACACTTGTCGAAGATGTGTCTGATTCTAAGACTGTAAATTGTGCGTAAATTCCATAAAACCGTATTAAATTAAGAAAATATAAATTATATATCCAAAGAGATACTAAACATTTTTACCAAGGTGAATGATCACATTGGATTTCCTCATTATTATCTCCAGCTGATTGGGATAAATACACGGTGAAAAGTTAAATTTATCATTGATTAAAACAAAAAGAAAAATCATCGATGATGTGGAACAATTGCTACAACTCTATTAACGCATTTATTAAAAAATGATTTATTATACTTTTTAGTTAAAGTACAATCTAATTATTGAAAATTTAATAATAAATTTTATTGAATGAAACCAATGGGTGCCCACTTTGTGCTGAAATATTCATGGATTAGTTTGGAAATATTCTTTTCAAATCAAATATAAAATTAATTAAAACTGTCCTTTTTTGGAAACGCCATGTAAACTAAATTTTATGTATATGGTCGGGAACACTATAATGGGAAGAAACAATTTTTTTTTAAGATGTTCGTTCCTCTACCACCTTCCAAATCGAATCTAACCAGATTGCAGAACGATAGAATCAATACTAGTTATTAAAATTGTTTGGTTATTCGTTTTTAAATTTTATTTAACTTTTAATAAAAACATTCAGAAGAAGTGTTATCTTTTTGTTCCTCCTCACATTTATTAAATTACTATTTGGAGTAACACTTTGCAGACAGGTAATTAACAATACATTTAAAACGAAACCAAAAAGTTATCTATGGTTAAAATACCAAACAATAAAATTTTACATATATCCAAAATATAAGGGCGGCCTAACTTTTTGTCCCGGATCCACACATAAACGTGAATTGTCTTTACAATATATTATGTTCATATTACAACATATGGTTTAAAAAAAATTATTTCTTAGGTGAACAATATTAACTAAAAGCGAAAAAAAAGTTAATTTCCAACAAATTCCAATTTTTGTTAAAAATTGATCATTAAAAATTGATGAAACAATGTTAGATCCATTAAAATTAAATTATCTTATAATCCATGAAAAGAGTCCATAAAACACATGACTGTTTACTAGAAGGAGTGGGGATTAAAGCACCAATAGCGGTCCAACAGTGCTGTATAAATGCTACCCTCGGCAGGTGAAACCGTATCATTCCGAATTTAGCAGTCACACCGACAACATGACTGGTCGCGGGAAAGGAGGAAAAGGTTTGGGTAAAGGAGGCGCCAAGCGTCACAGGAAGGTGCTCCGTGACAACATCCAGGGTATCACCAAACCCGCTATCCGTCGTCTCGCCAGACGTGGAGGAGTCAAGCGTATCTCAGGTCTCATCTACGAAGAGACTCGTGGTGTGTTGAAAGTCTTCTTGGAAAACGTTATCAGAGACGCTGTCACTTACACCGAGCACGCTAAGAGGAAGACCGTCACTGCTATGGACGTAGTCTACGCCTTGAAAAGACAAGGACGTACACTGTACGGTTTCGGAGGTTAAGCCTTTTTCTTCTGCCTTTCTATCTTTCAACGGCCCTTTTCAGGGCCACCAATTTCATCACTAATTTAGTAAATATTATTAACGCCAGGATATTGTTTAATGAGAGAATTTATTATAAATTCATGACACCTAGCCTGTTTACGTTATAAAAAAAATTAATTAAAATTTTATAAATTGTTGAAGTCGAGTTGGAGCGGTCGAGGAAGAGTTTTAAAAAACACGAACCATTATAATTCCACAAGAATACCACCCACACTTAATGCCTAAAGATTACTCGAATAAAAGGTTAAACGTCGGCTAAAGAAATAATAACGTGTTTTCCTAAATTACCTCATTCTTGACCGCTCCTCACGATTTCAACAAATTATAAGTCACTAAACAACACATTTCACTCGAAAGGATTTTATGTTCGAAAATGATTTAAAGAAAACCTTTTAAATAAAGGGACGTTACATATTTTAATCTCGTAAGGAATAAAACAAAGACTATTTTTAAACTATTGTAACATTTTATGCAAAGAAATATTGGTGGAGATCTCTTACTAGGTCTAGGTAAAGTAAATAAGCTTAAAAACCCAATACGTTAAAGTTGGTGTTTCGTGTTAAATTGTAGTAAAACGTGAAATTGAAAACTTTTTGGAATCTGTATTGTATAATTTTTATCCGTCGATACTCTGACAGATAAAAACAGTAATGATAGGACTGACCAAAATAATCATAAACGACTAAACCAGATGTTCATCCCCGGGCCTAAAGAAATTTCTCAGTTTACTGTTCACATTCTGTTAAAAAATCTATGAAGGTATTCATTAATTTAGTAGTTGATAGGTAATTAATGTGTTAATAAAAACTTAAATTATTCCAGTCTATAGAATGGTTTTTAATTCCAGTTGCGATTTTTTTACAATAGTTTTTTGAATATGTGAGCATTGAATAAAAAAAAATATAGTGAGGCAAGGTTTCGACCCGTGACGACGTTATTTTAATGCTAGTGGTAGTTTTCAGTAGTAATCTGAAGTTCTACTGGCTCTCGTGTGGAAGTATTTTAGATCATGTCGTAAAGATAGCGCTGTAAGCCAATCCGATTCTGTGGCCAATCAGACAGCTAGGTTCTGCTTAAACTCAGGTATATAAATGCGCAGTTCAACTACGAGATCTTATTCACACAGTAGACTCTGAAGTGATAGCATCAAAAAATGTCTGGACGTGGCAAAGGTGGAAAAACGAAGGGAAAGGCGAAGACCAGGTCGTCCCGTGCGGGTCTTCAATTCCCGGTCGGAAGAATCCATCGTCTTCTAAGGAAAGGCAATTACTCAGAGAGAGTCGGAGCTGGCGCACCCGTCTACTTAGCTGCCGTCATGGAATATCTGGCCGCTGAAGTTCTCGAATTGGCAGGCAACGCCGCACGTGACAACAAGAAGACCAGGATCATTCCTCGTCACCTTCAGTTGGCCATCAGGAATGACGAAGAGTTGAATAAACTTCTCTCTGGAGTCACTATCGCCCAGGGTGGTGTCCTTCCCAACATCCAAGCCGTCCTTCTCCCAAAAAAGACCGAGAAGAGCGCTTAAGCTGTTTTTTGCCACCGTTTTCAACGGCCCTTTTCAGGGCCACCACACATTTCACTACTCAATTTTGATATATGTGTCCTAAGTGTTTACAAAAATATATATAAAATACTGATTTTTTTAGATTTTGTTTTGTTTTTCCTAGAATATGGTCATAGATTTAGACTAGTTTTCGTGGTTCGCTTGGCCAATCTTTCAATTAATTGGTCATAAAACTTGGAACCGTTTTTTGTTATTGAAATGTTGGTGCTGCAAACTTCCTCCGCGTACAATAAAACACAATGGCATTACAATATGCATTTTTCCGTTTGTAATTGAAAGGCAAAATTTTTAATATACTTCACACCAGATTGCATCTCACGATTTCCGAATAATCATCGACGGTCGTCACTTAATCACCACACATTTTAAATATAATTATTCCAATCCTTTAATCTAATGTTCCATATTTGCTTAAATAAAATATATGAAACTCCTTTGCAGTTCGTAACGTATTATAAAATTTTTGCCTACAAGTATTGTAGGAAACTAATTTTTCTTCTAGAAATAAATTCAGAAGTACACTCATTCAAAGCCTGGGATATAGTAAGTGTTTGAAATAATTCGGAGTTTTTCTGTTCACATTCATTCAAATTACGTCAATCATTATTTATAATTTTACTTTTTTATCTCAACCCATACCTTACATAAAGATTTATTAATTGAAAGAAGTTATTTGGTCCATCAGACCACGAACTCTAATGGATTTAAAATGCAGAAACGCAACTTTTTTTCGAAAAATCTCCATATTTGGAAATTTATCCCTGGGTTAAACCTAAGAATAAATAATAACCTAAGAATTAGTCAAGCGGACCATGAAATTAGTGAACCTAAAAATAAATCAATTCTAGATCTGCTTTCTACGTACAAATATCAGACCGAACACAACTTCGTAGTTTTCTTTTTACATGAAGGTCCAACTTTTGTACTGTAGTATACACTAGTTTAAGTGGGTAAAAATAAATTATTATGTCTCGGAGAAAACCTTGATTGTCGATTAGACAAGGAAGATCTGAAAGTATTTATAAAACTGCCAAATGCCTTATATTATAAATTTTCTAGTACACTAAAAAATCGACAAAACTCATTTTATTTCAGTTTAAATATTGTAAAATGCATTATTCTGGTGAAGTTCAAATTTGGAAATTATAAGGTTGACTTGAATCTACTTATTTTGAAACGAAAGTATTTTCTCACAATTTGTACTACACTTATTTTTTTCTGGTGCAAAATTATCATTGGCATAAATTAAAGTAGTTGTTAAATGACCGAATTCTACAATTTTTTGCGGAGCCCTCATTATTTTATATTTTACAATAAGTAAGGTTTAATTTTGTATGCTTTCAACACTGGCCCAAAAATAATCTAAACGAAGCGTGGTGTTCATAAAACTTTTCTTACTGTTGAAATTTACTAAAAAATTATCTACTTTGCTTACTGCCTTAGTGTTCAGGTAATACGTGCTAAAATAAAATTTCCATTGGAAAATATGACGAGAAATACAAAACTAAAACAAAGTTTCGACTATTTATCTGTTTGTAACTTTTCAAAATAAGTCTTTCATAAAAGTATGCATATGTTTTCATGTCCGGCGTGGCTACTTTTTAAAATAATCCGAAAGTTAGCATAAACTATAAAAACCAGATTTAAACATAAATATTTTCATAATAAATTTAATTTTTGTTAAATAAAAAGTACCAAGTCGATTTACCTCAAATGAGAATTGGAAGTAATTTGGCTTGTTCCTATTGGTTACAAAGTGGAGAAACGCCTGTTAATGCTATCTGTTGAAAATTACCACAACGAAGTTCGCTTGAGCTTAGCTACGTTGGTTGTATTTATCGACCAGGATCATTCGTCATCTTCAGTTGGCCATCAGGATGACGAAAAGTTGAACAAATTTCTCTATGGAGTTAACATGGCCCAAGGTGTGTCCTTCCCAACATCCAAGCCGTTCTTCTACCCAAGAAGGCCGAAAAGGGTTTTTAAACGTTTCTTTAGTTTTCATCGGCCCTTTTCATGGCCACCAATCATCACTTAATAAATTCGCTACTGATCCTTAGTTATCAAGCAATTTAATTTTTACAGCAAGGGTTTTTATGTCACTTTTATTGCAAATAACTTTTAAATTAATTCGATATCCGTCACATTTAGATGTCTGATTGACCAAATTACTTCTTTCAATTAATTTTTATGTAAGCTTTTTTTATTAACTTTTTTATTTCAACCAAAAACTTTACATAAAAATTCATTAGAGTTCGTGGTACGATTGACCGAATAACTTTTGTCAATTAATTAATCATTATATAAGGCTTGATTCAGATAAAAAAAGCCCATGTCACGAGCGGGATTCGAACCCATGACCATTGACTAAATACACCGCTGCTCTTTCACTTATCTTGACTTCGATCCAGTGTTATGGTGTGTTTGTTATTAATTTGGTCAAAGTGGAAATTATATGCATCTTTTTGATGTTTGTAGAATTTTTTAAAGCGTCTGTAGGTATTATCTTGTCAGCACTGAGTTTTAATTGGTGTAAGTGTTGTGTTAGTGTCTCACTGGCACTCTCAACCCAACATCTACACGGAAAACAAACACTTTGAATCAGTACAAATACTTTGATTGAATCTAAAATTTTCTAGCATTGTATACATTAATTTTTTCCTAAAATTTTCTAGCGTTGTATAAATTCATTTTTTAAAATGTAAAATTTTCTAGCATTGTATAAATTCATTTTATTTATTTATTTTTTTAATGTCAAATTTGTAGCAATGTATATATTAATTTTTTCACATCCTACATGTATTTGTAAAATTTAAACAATGTTTATAAATCCCCGGCCCTGAAAATGATCTCAATAAAACTCGAAATATTGGCACGATAAAGAAAATGTTTTTCTAAAAACTTACGTCACATCACACCGCATCTCACGATCTCCGAATAATCATTTTAATAGACCCATAAACCAACTGAAGTTAAAGCGTATAAGCTGCGATCTAGTAGAACGAACCGAAAGTACAATAGTGAAACTACTCTGCCACCAATCAGTGGTGCCGTTACTTTGCAGCCAATAGAGTTGTTAGAATTGTGCGTGTTCTTTGAGTGGAGGGGATGACTGGTGTTGTATAAATTCTGTCTCCAGGCTGCAGCTCGTCACTTTGGGTTTAAGCTTGTGAAATATGACACCTCCTAAAGCAACTGGGAAAGCGATGAAAAAGGCCGGCAAGGCCCAAAAGAATATCGCAAAGACCGACAAGAAAAGGAAGAAGAGGAGGAAGGAGTCGTATGCTATTTACATTTACAAAGTGTTGAAGCAGGTCCACCCCGATACCGGGGTCTCTTCCAAGGCGATGAGTATTATGAACTCATTCGTCAACGATGTCTTTGAGAGGATCGCTGCTGAAGCTTCACGTCTCTCTCATTACAACAAGAGGTCTACCATCACCAGTCGGGAAATCCAGACTGCTGTCAGGCTCCTTCTTCCCGGAGAATTGGCGAAGCACGCCGTTTCTGAAGGGACTAAAGCTGTAACCAAATACACCAGTTCTAAATAAATTGCTCCATTTGCGTTTTCAACGGCCCTTTTAAGGGCCACCAAAATAATTCACTAAAAGTATGTCAAGACTAGCAAATTAGTAGGAATTTTGAGTCACGGATTCAATCCTTTTTAAAAAGTTGTTTCCTGCTCACGTTAATTTGTTTCGCAACAAACGGATTTCGAGCCCTTTGTCTCATCGTCTGGTTGATGAGTTCTACAAACATGTCTCGTCATCAATTGCAAAAGTGAACCCGCCAATGCGACGTTCCAATGAGAAGCTGTTTTTAATGGCCCCCTTAATTTGAACGTGCGGAAAGCGGGAATATAGCGCAAATAACTATTACAATAATAAATAATGGAAGAATTAAAATGTAATGTATCCAATGTACATTGGAAATTAACAAAGATGGTTGTTTGAACTTTATAGACCTAAAATTGTCCATAATAAACAACCTAATAGAAATAGACGTATATAGAAAACCTACAACTACAGACACTAAGATATTCTTCCCACCCATGCTCCCAAAAGCCTGCTGGTTTCATTTGACTCATAGACCGTATGTTAAAACTTCCATTAACATCGGCTAACTATAAAAAAGAATTAAAAACTATTAAAACCATAGCAAAAAAAAACTCGGGGGTCTGGGCGCAAGCGCTCGTGACATCGTATCCTAAAACAAGGAACACTCAGCACAGAATAACAATAAACATATACCACAGAATAACAATGAGGACACAATTGATTATATTATAATTAATATATTTTATTCATTAAATGATTGTTACATATGTAATATTTAATATGTGCATCGCTGCACGATAGCCAGAGCGTAATACAGCGAGAGTCATGCCTCTAAGCACGCTCGGCTTAAATCGGTTACTCTCGGCTCAAGCGTAACAGGACACCGATCGTAACGGGACAAGAGTCGTACTTTTTTTGCGAATGCCTCCTAGCGTTACCGATTTATAAGACGTTGTCACGTCAAAAACAACGGGTATCTGGAAATATTTATTGATAGGTTGCTAGTTAAAAGAATAAAAAAAATTAACTTTAAAAGAATCAACAATAGGACAGCCACCCAACCATAATGAATCATTAGGTTTCCGTTGTTTGCCATACATTGGTGAATTATCGCAAAAAGTTAGTAAAATTTTTAAACAAGAAGGTTTTAGAATAGCTTTTAGAAGTACGTGTTCACTTAAAAACTTTCTCTCAAAACCTAAAGACAAGGTAGACAACTTGGCAAAAAGCGGGGTTTACCAATTTAATTGTTATGATTGTGATATTAAATATATAGGACAAAGCGGTAGAGAAATAAAAAAGAGAGTAGAAGAACACTTTTCGGAATTTATGGACCATATAAAAGAAACAAAACATAATTTCAATTCAAATTTAAATACAACTGTGTTACATAGTTTCAACAAAGGGAGAGAACTAGATTGGTTTGAGAAATTTGAAATTAAAAAATGTAAAATTGAACATGGTGATAAATGCATCTGTTTTATGGTGTGGATAATAAGTAAAACTCTTAACAAAACGTTATATATTTTCTTTAATGTTACATCAACACAGGATTTTTCACAATATCCCCAATCCCCCATAACATCCCCCCACGGGTGCCACCTTACCAACATCTTTGTACTTTCAATCCTATTGGTATCTGAGGGGTTTGGTTATGGTTCTCCCAGAGCGGGTAGTCATCCAACCCCGAATCTCCGGTTGTCCTCCGTCCGCTCCGACAGTCTGGGCCGTGTAGGTGTCGATTGTATGGCCGGTGTATCGTTTTGTGCTGGATGATCAGGATCAGGTAATGGTGGGCTGCTTTCAGTTGAAGGGTCCGGTGCAGATGGTTTGACTTTAACTCCCTCTTTTTGATTTTCCTCAGGCGGTGTGAGTTGTTCTGGGGTTTGGTTGAGATATGGCGCAGGAATTAGATTGAAGCGATTCCTTCTTACTGTACTCATAGATGTGTGCACTAGATAGGATCGTTGATTCATTACTTTGACAATCTTCCCATGGCGTTTCAGATCTGTGATCCAAACAAACTCACCCCACTGTATCTGGCTCAGGTCCTTTGCTCAGTGTCTTTTGTCGTAATGTATTTTGTATTGCCTTCTATATCTTTCTTCAGCTTTGGCTAAATTTACTGGAGGTTTTAACTCCCACATGCTGAATGGATGGGCGGTTGTCTCTCAATTTTCTGCCATACAGCATTTCCGCTGGGCTAAATCCATTCCCTATTGGGGTATTGCGGTATGTTAGTAGGGCTAAAGCCAGATGCTCCTTGTTTTTTTAATAGAGTTTTTGCGATCTTAACAGCGGCCTCTGCGGCACCATTCGCTTGATGGAATTGCGGGCTGCTTGAGGATGTGGAAAATCCCCAGTCTTTGGCAAAGATTTGAAATTCGGATGTCTGAAAACCGTGGAATTGTGTCCCGCTTCTAAGCAGACAAGTTGTGGGATTCCATATCTTGCAAACGTAGTTTTGCAGATTTTGATTATGTCTGACGCTCTCATTTTCCCTACTTGGTAGACTTCAAAGAATCTTGAGTAATGGTCAGTAATTACAAGGTACCATTTGTCGTCAAGTTTGAAGAGATCCAATGAAGCAACTTGCCAAGGGTAGACGGGAAACTTTGTATGCAGATAGGGCAGGATTTAAATGCCACCGATTACATGCGAGGAAGCGTACACAAAATCTAATCTATTAACCCTCGGTCAATCATTAAGTCACCTCGGGTTAAGGGAGAGAAAAATGCTATTGTGCTTAATCGACATCTGATAAGCCGAGTGCATTTGCAAGTAACGCTATAACTAATATTGAATAATATAATATATATAACTTGTATGAATCGACTTCCTCTTCCAGTTCATTGTCGTCCTCAGATGGAATTGGTTTACGAGACAAAACATCCGCAACGAAAAGATTTTTTCCGGGAGTATAAGTGATTTAGAATCTACTGGCAAAGTTTGTAAGAACGAGTAGCCTAACATCCTGTTATAATAGGTGGAAATCGAGTATTCTACCACACCCTAATTGAATGAAAAACTTGTTTTTGGCAGAGGTCACATCAACCCTCGGGTGTTGGTGTTATTGAAAAAAAACCAAACATTTGTAACTATGTCGGGTTCCAATGAAGAGCCGCTGGATTCGAACTCGGGACCTACAGTGATGAGCGCTGTGTCCACGCCTAAACCTTTGCGGCCAATTACATTTTTATCGGACAATAGTTAATTTATATACGCACAAAAATATTATTTTTTTAATACATTTATTTAGTGCTATCTGTACCAAAATATTTACTAGCAACTAGTACACGTACTTGAAAACTAAATAAATATTTTTCACATAACTCTGATATTGATACCAAAATATATTTTTCGACAGGAATTTTATTTCGTCCTGTATTTTCATGCGAAATGTAAATTATTTCATGCCGTTAGCCTATCACAGGTTTTATAAAATCCAATAAGATCAATGAGTAGTAACTAGTAGGCAAAAGCATTTATTTTTCATAGCCAGCAATTGATAAGCATTCCAATTTTTAACCGTTCCCTTGACTCCACAAGCAAAACAAAAATACAATTCAATTGCTAATTTTAAACATGTTAAGGTGAGCGGCCCCAGAAGAACAACCTAAGTTTAAAATTAGCAATTGATTTATCCAACAGCCGACTAAAACAAGGACATGAATAAAAAGACAATTCTATTGATTAGTGAACGGATTTGGGTGGCCCTGAAAAGGGCCGTTGAAAGATGGCAGAAACAACGATTTAAGCTCGTTCACCACGGATACGCCTGGCCAATTGGATGTCCTTAGGCATGATAGTGACTCTCTTGGCGTGGATGGCGCACAAGTTAGTGTCTTCAAAAAGACCGACCAAGTAAGCTTCAGCAGATTCTTGGAGAGCCATGACAGCGGAGCTCTGGAAACGCAAGTCGGTTTTGAAATCCTGGGCGATTTCCCTGACCAACCTCTGAAAAGGCAACTTCCTGACGAGAAGCTCAGTGCTCTTCTGGTACCGACGGATTTCTCTAAGGGCGACGGTTCCTGGCCTGTAACGATGGGGTTTCTTGACACCTCCGGTCGCTGGGGCCGATTTTCTGGCTGCTTTGGTTGCCAGTTGTTTCCTAGGAGCCTTCCCTCCAGTGGATTTACGTGCTGTCTGCTTTGTACGTGCCATAACTCGATCAAGTAGAAACGACTGTATAACCGTATATAAAATTTTGTGGTTCGCTATAGCTTATATAGCAATTTTTTGATAAAGGGAGGGGATTTTTATCCCTACCACAAACTCCTGGCGACCTCTGCTGAGTATAAGCAGCATTAGTCGAATCAAAAAGCTGCACTTTGAAAATAACTATTATAAACTATTAAGTAACATATCGTTATATTGTTTTTTATAATTATTAATCGTATAAGATTTCACAAGATATCTTACAATAATGAAAATAGCGGCTTCATGAACATGATAAATACGACCAAAGTAGCTAAGCTCAAGCGAACTTCGTTGTGGTAATGTCTAACAGATAGCACAAACAGGCGTTTCTCCACTTTGTAACCAATAGGAACAAGCCAAATTACTTCCAATTCTCATTTGAGGTAAATCGACTTGGTACTTTTTATTTATCAAAAGTTAAATTTATTATGAAAATATTTATGTTTAAATCTGGTTTTTATAGTTTATGCTAACTTTCGGATTATTTTAAAAAGTAGCCACGCCGGACATGAAAACATGCATACTTTTATGAAAGACTTATTTTGAAAAGTTACAAACAGATAAATAGTCGAAACTTTGTTTTAGTTTTGTATTTCTCGTCATATTTTCCAATGGAAATTTTATTTTAGCACGTATTACCTGAACACTAAGGCAGTAAGCAAAGTTGATAATTTTTTAGTAAATTTCAACAGTAAGAAAAGTTTTATGAACATCACGCTTCGTTTAGATTATTTTTGGGCCAGTGTTGAAAGCATACAAAATTAAACCTTACTTATTGTAAAATATAAAATAATGAGGGCTCCGCAAAAAATTGTAGAATTCGGTCATTTAACAACTACTTTAATTTATGCCAATGATAATTTTGCACCAGAAAAAAATAAGTGTATAGTACAAATTGTGAGAAAATACTTTCGTGTCAAAATAAGTAGATTCAAGTCAAACTTATAATTTCCAAATTTGAACTTCACCAGAATAATGCATTTTACAATATTTAAACTGAAATAAAGACAGTTTTATCGATTTTTTCTTGTACTAGAAAATTTATAATAAAGGCATTTGGCAGTTTTATAAATACTTTCAAATCTTCCTTGTCTAATCGACAATCAAAGTTTTCTCCGAGACAAAATAATTTATTTTTACCCAGTTAAACTAGTGTATACTACAGTACAAAATTTGGACCTTCATATTTAGGTATAAAAAGAAAATTAAATTGTAAATTTTGATTCGACATAATTTGAATGAATGTGAACAGAAAAACTCCGAATTATTTCAAACACTTACTATATCCCAGGCTTTGAATGAGTGTACTTCTGAATTTATTTCTAGAAGAAAAATTAGTTTCCTACAATACTTGTAGGCAAAAATTTTATAATACGTTAACTGCAAAGGAGTTTCATATATTTTATTTAAGCAAATATGGAACATTAGATTAAAGGATTGGAATAATTATATTTAAACTGTGTGGTGATTAGTGACCGTCGATGATTATTCGGAAATCGTGAGATGCGATCTGTTGTGAATTATATTAAAATTTTTGCCTTTCAATTACAACATGGAAACATGCATGTTGTAATACATTGCTTTATTGTACGCGGTGGAAGCTTGCAGTACCTATATTTGCAATTACAAAAAACTGTATTTAATAATAAATTTTTGTAAATACTTGGGAACACCAAGATCAAAATCGTTTAGTGAAATGTTTGGTGGCCCTGATAAGGGCCGTTGAAAACGGTCGCAAAAAGCAACTTAAGCGCTCTTCTCTGTCTTTTTTGGGAGAAGGACGGCTTGGATATTGGGAAGGACACCACCCTGTGCGATGGTGACCCCGGAAAGAAGTTTGTTTAACTCTTCATCATTCCTGACCGCCAACTGAAGGTGACGGGGAATGATCCTGGTCTTCTTGTTGTCACGTGCAGCGTTGCCTGCCAATTCGAGAACTTCAGCGGCCAAATATTCCATGACGGCTGCCAAATACACGGATGCACCCGCTCCAACCCTCTCAGCGTAGTGTCCTTTCTTTAGGAGTCTGTGGATTCTTCCAACCGGGAACTGAAGTCCCGCACGGGACGACCTGGTCTTCGCCTTTCCCTTCGTTTTTCCTCCTTTGCCACGTCCAGACATATTTGCTTTCAAATATATAGATTCGAGTTAGATCGTAGAATGAGAATGGTTCAACAACCGTGCAGCACAACTTATATAGTCACAATTCTTGATTCTGATTGGCCGCAGTATGTAACTAATTCGATATTACCGCCATCTATTGAACTAACTACGAACTACTAACTGTTTCTTCTTTTCATTCTAGATGTTACCATGTTTCATGTTTAAATAAGTACTAAGATAAAAAGTATAATTAATTGAAATAATTAATACAGTCAATTATGACTGCTAAACATATATCGATTAAAGTGAGAATAATAATAATAATCTCAATTAATTATAATTTTTTATGCATGGATTAATATAATAATAACAATACTTTATTAGAAATGAAACATACAAACAAATGTTACAACGTGTAATAAGCATGGCTAGTAATCGTCTTCTAGTTTATTCCATAATAAAGCTTATAATTGTAGATATATTATAATAGACTAAAAAAAAAAATCTTATTTATACATAGCAGAATAGTGAATGTAAAGGAATCGGAAATATGAAAAAACAATAGGAATTAAAAGATAACTGATTACTTCTTCAGTACTAATAGTTATTTTCATAAACTTGCAAAATGATTTTAACTCTACTCAATTTTTTATATTATCCAGACTTATTAGTCATTATTATTCATTTCTGATTACAGTACCCCAGTCAACATTGACAACCGCAGAGGTAATTGAATATGGAGATTAAGTGGCATTTAATTTATTTATTTAAAACATTCACCACAGACATAATTTATACATTGTTATACACTTCTCTTAATTTAATACTCAACTTTAAGCTAAGGATGTTATAATTATTTTTAAAAAATTAAGCTCTAGTTGTTTGCTATTTTACTGCCCAGTTTAAAATGCATGCATGAATGACGACTTGTTTAGAAGAGGTTAGTGAGTCTTACCAGCGTGAGCACGTTAAAACAACTCAGAAGTACAGAGCTTATATTTAATTCTATAAGATTTTGTCTACTAATAAAATGTAATTAAATATTTGATTTGTACATTTATTCTATAGTCTTGGTTTAGATGAAAATCGTTAAACGACTCTTAATTGAACTTTTGCTTGAGGAAGCAACAATTACAACATAACTAAATTACTATGCTTATGTGTAATTTAATAACACATACGACGTACAAAGGAATTTTTTATTATGTCCAAACGTCCTTATAGATAAGTGAAATCTTTTGGTGGTCCTGAAAAGTACGGTTGAAAGAGGTAAATACAGAACAGTTTACTAGAAATGATTTTTAAAAGGATTAAAACAGTTTTCTTGGAGCTTGTGTTTCTGGTTACAGCCTTGGTCCCTTCGGAAACCGCGTCTTCGCCAATTCTCCGGGAAGGACGAGCCTGTCAACTGTCTATATCCCGAGTGGTGTTGGTTTTCCTCTAGTCATTGGCGAATGAATTAATGATGTTCATCGCCTTGGAAAGATTTCGGTATCGGGATGGACCTGTTTCAACACTGTATATGTAAGTAGCATAGGATTGCTTCATCCTCTTCTTGGTCTTGGTGATGTTCTTTTGGTCCTTGCCGGCCTTCTCCTTACCTTCCACTGGGAAAGCTATGAAGAAGATATACCGAAATCTCTTCCAAGGCATACGGAGTTAATTTTCCGTTTCAATTAGCTACAATTTTTATTTATTATACTTTAATCTAAGGTCTTGGTTGGTGAATCATGACTACTATTGGATTATATCAATTTTTATATGGAATCGTTAAACATGTAACTTTTGATGACCGTTGAATTATAATTGTGATGTTTATACGGTGTGTGATGGAATATCGGTCGATGGTTGTTGGCATAAAGAATCATTAAACGTTTTTAACTCCGACCCTGGACAGGCCAAAAAAATAATTAGGCCGCTGATTTATTTTTTTTTTTAGACTACAAAATAACTCCAAAGCCAACGTGCCTACACATAACCACATGATATGAAATGCTACAACTCTTTAATGAAAGAAAGTTTTTTATATTAATCATGAGAAAAGGAATCGACGTCGCAATCACACAACATACGTAAGTATTCGTATTGCTTCATCAATCTTAATTAAATATTTCGTGGTCCGATTGCCAAAATAACTTCTTCCAATTAATTAATCCTTTTATTATATTTTATTTATTCTGGTTCAAATGAATTATAAAAATGATAATGATTGTTTAAATTAGTGACAAAATTTGTGGCCCTCAAAAGGGCCGTTGAAAATTAATTGGAACACAGCTTAAGCACGTTCACCACGGATACGTCTAGCGAGTTGGATATCCTTAGGCATGATGGTGACTCTCTTGGCGTGGATGGCGCACAAGTTAGTGTCTTCAAAAAGACCAACCAAATAGGCTTCCGAAGCTTCTTGGAGAGCCATGACGGCGGAACTCTGGAAACGCAAGTCTGTTTTGAAATCCTGGGCAATTTCCCTGACCAACCTCTGGAAAGGTAATTTCCTTATGAGAAGTTCAGTACTTTTCTGGTACCGACGGATTTCCCTAAGGGCAACAGTTCCGGGCCTGTAACGATGGGGTTTCTTGACTCCTCCGGTCGCCGGGGCCGACTTCCTGGCAGCTTTGGTTGCCAGTTGTTTTCTGGGGGCTTTTCCTCCGGTGGATTTACGTGCTGTCTGCTTCGTACGAGCCATTGCGAGCGAATGCCTTAGAACGATCCCGAACCTGCTTTTATAGTAGTTTTACACGGTTAGTGGGGGGGAGCTATAACAACGCTCTGTTGGATTAGTGGACAAGCTCACTCATTTTAGTTTCTCCATCGTCCGTATAGTAGAGTAGCGCTGCTGCTTTCAAGCAGATTTGCGCGGGGGTGATAGTGTGATACAGTCTATTGTACTAATATTGGATTGGCGTTGCGTCGGCTGTTCCGGAAAGAATTCAAAGTTGAAGTTGAGAATCGAAAGCATAACTGCTATATGATATATTTAAATTTCCTTTGACAAATCAAAAGAACTTTAACTTACTCAATACAACAGTTGAGATGTTCTACTATTATGTACAAAAGAGATTGAATAATAGTGATTACTTGTCAATCAGGAGAGAGAGAGATATGTAGTTTTATGCTGCTTAAACAGTTTATAAGAATATTGTTTAAAATGTTGTACATCCGTGGGATAGCACTTTACTAGGATTCGAAGATAGCGCCTTGTACGGCTCGTGTATATTGATAATTTGACATAAGTTTGCTTGGAACAACTATTCTTACAACAATCATATGAATATACATTTGTTTTGAGCATGTCTGTCATAATAAAGGCAATTTGTTTTTGTTAAAAAACAAATAAATAAAACAAGGGTAATTTTTCAAATTTTATATATTTAAAACATTTCACATACATTCAGCTTACATACATTTTATTGCAGAAATGATCATTTGAAAATGATATTGCTCATTATTATTCTCAAACACATTATTTTTACTTTGAATTTTCCACATTTAAAAGATCTGCAAGTGCTAAATAAGGAAAGAGAATTGTTGAGAAAAGAAAGAGAAATGTTATAGTGCAAATGGGATTGGAACAAATCAATAATTCAAAACTCATGAATGTTTAAGTATGTACAGTTTATTCTATCCATCCTCTATGCCCCTAGCTGTTATTTTATATTTGCACTCCCCACAGTTCATATCAGGCGCTGCAACAACCCTGAAGATCTTTGAATCGTTTCCTGTCAATACTTGGAATCTGGATGTAACTAAGTTTGACCAGACTAAGCCCAGAGCAGGCACAACCTCGTTGTTTTCCAATGAGTCTGCCACCTTTGAATATTTCAGTATTTAATAGTTATTTGCTTATTTGTACATTTTATTTAAATAGAGAAACTTTATTTCCCAATTACTCTTATAATTTAGGCTAAGTTAGAGCTTAGAGATTAAACATTTACTAATTACTGATTTATATAAGCTCAAATGTGCACATGCCACATATTTATATATATCCAGGCATCAAGGTTGGGCTCCAATGTTAACAACAGGTAGGTGATAGAAATGATGAATGGTGGAATGAGTGCGAAGTTGAATCCTTTTAAAAAAAAAGATAGTTCCTACTCACAATAAGTTGTTTTCCAATGATCCGGAGTTCAAGCCCTTAGCTCATCATCAGGTTGAAGGATTTCTACAACCTGATGATGAGCTAAGGGCTTGAAATACGGATTGTTGGAAAACAACTTACTGTGAGTAGGAACTATCTTCTTTTAAAAAAGGACAGGTAGGTGATTTCAGAACTAACACGATCAGTTCATAAATCCAAACCCATTCATACTCTCACTCACTCATACTTTATTTTCTATTTACATACCCATTCCCTGTTAACGTGGTGAAGTACTTTTGTGAAAGAATAATAACAAGAAAAGTTCAATAAAAACTTTAGAAATGTATAATATTTAGTGACCTTTAATTACTGATTATTTAAAGATTGTGAGATGCAGTCTGGTGTGATGTAGGTTAGAACCTACTGACTAAATTTCTAGGTTACAAGGTCTTAACTACATCACATCAGATCATCTCATGATCTTTAAACAATCAAAAACTTTAAACTTGTTTAGATATTTATACTTGGATCACAACTTGGAACAAAAGTTAAAAGTGTACCTGATTAACACACAAAATAGTGACATTAAATTTTCTGGACAAATTATGCAGCTCTGACCCAATGATTTTCAACTCCTTTGATCTTGCCACTAAATCATCTGAGCCATACTCAGCTCGGAAGACAGCAGTAATTGAATCTATGACTATAAGGCCAATGGATAGCGTTTTCAAAACATGTGGCAGCCTTTTCAAAATGCAATCTTTCAGACCTTCCTAATAAAAGAACCAGTAAAAAAATACGATCAATTGGTATAAACTAACAATATCTTTTACCACTTGGGGGATATGGTCAACGAGAATGTTGTCTGTGCAATTTCCTTCAATCTCAAAATTGCCCCTGGGAAAGTTGAGAACCATCTCCTGGAGGCGTCTGGCTGGAAATCTGTCCTCAGTACATATATATACGGCTTTTTTTCCAAGACCACCATGCTCTAAGGGGTACTGTACTGTGATCGATAATTGGAGGCAGAATTGTGTCTTTCCGGCACCACTCACACCATAAAGTTCGTTGATTCCCCTTGTTGGTATGCCACCACCTGTTTACAAAATTTATTTTATAAATAACATAAGCTCAAGGTTTAAACAAACCTGTAAGTTTATCGATTCCCTTGCAGTCAAAAGTCAGAGTCCTCCACTTATCTTTGTATATTCTTTTAGCTTCATTTACTGAAAACCAGATCTTGATTCACATTTTTTAAAACATATATTTTTCATTTAACAAACGAAAATAACCTGTTTTAAACCCTTGAGGAATGATAATATTGGCAGCAGCATTTTTAACCAGATGAATCTCTTCATCTGTAAAGTTCTCCATTTTTCGGAATTCACTCGAATCCATCACAATGATTTTTCGACTTGAGAGAAGGCCAACTGAGTTCACATACCAAATAAAAACATTATTTGTTAATAATACACTATTATAAAAAAAAGATCAAATCATAAAAATAATTTACTTTTTTTAAGTTTAATTGCCAAACTTTCGCTCAGCTCAGATGTATCAATATCATCCATGTCTTTGGTCGACTGAAATCATATGGTATCATATTTTAACAACATAAAACAAACCAAGAGATTTTTAAGGAATAATTTATTAATTGACAAATTGATGACAAAAGTGGCATCAAGAATTTCTCTGATCCAAATACAAAAAATCATCTTTGAAAAGAATATATTTCTTAATAAATCACCAAGTTTATATCACTATAGCATAAATATGTTACATTAATTTTAATTTTTGCTCATTGAGAACTTTTACACCTTTTAAATATATATTAGAAGATTATGATTCCCTGCAGTGTGCCCTGGTACCCAGACAGGGGTAATTTTGTTATTTTTGTCTGATAAAGCCCTAATGCAATCCCAAATGACTCTGAACTTTACCACCAATACAGTAATTACCCTTAGTGCCAACTGACTGAGTAGATCTCTATTCTTCTGTTAACAGGCACTTCAATCACACTGGTACAGTGTTCAATAGCCTATTTCTTTGTGTGTTAGAAGTGAAGATCGACCAGTGAAATTATTTGGTTGGTCATCTGAGGAAGAAAATACATAGGCATGTTTTTGATGTTTTCTTAATTCAATGACCGTTTACCTTATCCTCACTCAAATACTCTTTGTGTGAGACAGAGGCATGTTGCCCATATTATATGAATTTTAATCCTTGCATTATTTCCATAAATACCACCTCCTGACCAATACTCAGTTTTAGAGCCATTTATATACAAGATACGGTCGGCATAAATTGCGACCCCTTTCTCCCAGGTATTTAAATTTGAATTTTTTTTATCAAATCTGACTTTATGGGTCATGGCATCTCCAGAACCATGTTTCCCTAAAGCTCCCGGCGATTAGGCTATTAGTGTCAGTCTCTGCATTAACCTATGAATTATGGAACTGGTCTTTTCCTGGATAAATATATGTAGTGGTGTAAGATTGAGAAGGAATTCCATGGATCGTTCTCATGAGGCATGCTAGTCTCTGAGCAACACTGAGGATCCTGGCCGCCTTTAGATCTAATGTTTTTGTCCACCAAACCACCAATTCATAGGCAATCATTGGTTTAACAACTGCTGTGTTAGCCATAGTGATATCTTTAGGTTTATTCCCCAACATTTCCCCCTAAGAGGTATTTCATGAATCACAAATAAAAAAACTATTAACATTTAATTTGACAATATAATGTAATACATAATTTTGTATTTTTACAATTATTGTAGGTGTATTATTACATGAGGAAATTACAGTAAAAAATTACAACTATATACAATCTAATTTACAGAGCTAAAACACTTGAGTTTTATCAGATTAAGCTCAATTATTCATTTCACTAATCTGTAAGTCGATATTGTTCTGTATCATTTCAATGATGGACCTGCTTGTACTTTCCGGCATGTCTGTGAGATCACTAGGCAGCCCGAAGTGTCTACTGAGATTGGCAGGCTGGATTCCGACTTCTTCTCCAATGTATCGGAATTCTGGAGAGACACCTTCAACAAATTGCATATCCTTCAGCTCGTCCCATGTAAAGAGGAAAGAGTCATTTTCAGCTTCGCTGAACAGATTCAAGTCGACAAGTTTGACTTGCGATACCTTCCAAATGACATCAAATGCATAGCTGCTCAGAATGAATTCACCCTTGAGACTCTCTTCAAAAAATGACCGGATATCATTGACTATGTTACACTTATATTGTGGGATGTGTTTATGAAATTCGGATTTGTCCCTTTGGGTTATGGCGATCAACTGACCATCAGAGACAAAACACCGAAACTCGCTACCGGGATGTATGTCTTCCCACATTCTCAACACAATGACACAATCGAGGTCTCGGTTCTTGAACGATTCCAAATCCCGGGCGATTCTGTTCGATCCCTTGAGGAGAAGATAGATGTCCTGAAGGTTGGAACACTTGAGAGAATTGTTTGTGGCGATCCATGAAGCGTCATATGGTGCACTCCAGTTCAGCTTGACGAACACCTTACCTCCAAGTCTGTCCATCGCTTTTTTAAGGTCACAACTGAACTCAGGAAAGGTGGGCATCGGTGGGGCATCCTCGTCTTCGTCCTCACCGTCAGACTCCCAGGTTGTGAAAGTTACGTCGTCGACTTCGGACGTCTTCTTCGTCTCGAGGACGGCTTCTGAAGGTACCATCACTAGGTCACTTTTTAAGTAAGAAAGCACTTCGTCAGGCACTTTGACAAACTCGGAACGAGTGGTCCACCTTTTAAATTTCGGGTACCAGTTTTGAAAAGAGCAAGCATGCTTCTCGCAAATTTTCATTTCTGTTATTAACAATTTACTTTATAGTTTATACAGACCGATGAGGTCTTCGGCAGAAAGTTTTCCCTTGTATCTCAATAAAATTAACTACTTACTAATAAAATAAGGCCAGTCTTAAACCTGTATAAAATACAAAGAAAACACAACACACAACAGGTACTAGAACTATTTAGTAGATAGTGTATGTACTATGTAGTATAGACTATATTAGTATTGAATTACAGACAATAGAATATACAGAACCTTCTCCACGTGCTAGTTAACAGGAACAACTGCCATAACAGAACGTTTCCCCCCCAAAAAATACCTTTTCAAAAAGTTTTACATTAAGCTAAGTGTATTATGAGAATGAACCTCTAAAAAATAAAATTAAAACTTAAAAAAATCAGAGAAACAAATAATGAAACTAATTTGTAAATTTAAAATGTAGTACACTACTAATTGCTGATGTATATAAGTTCAAATCTACATATGTATGTACACACATACACACACGTACAGAGTTGAGTCTGCCAATTTTCACAGCCCAACCGCAATTCCAGTTTTTGTAATTTACAATAAATTACTGGCAGGCCTTAAGAATCACCCACGCAGGGTGATGCCATTCCCGGTTCAGGCTTCAGTCTTATCCATCCAACCACCATTAGATCTGGGTCTTAACAACTAGGTCATTTCAGAATCAAGACAGTCAGTTTGAAAACACACATATTGGCAGATAAATGTATAAAATGAATGTTGGTAACACCGGTAACTGTAGTAGAGCCGTAGAGGGAATTGTTTGTTAGTTATTCCGCCGACACCTGTTTGTGTATTGCTCCTTTTATAATTAAAAGTATTGTTCATGTTACTGCTCTTTTTATTGTTCCCGACAACAACACGTTCTTTCTTATTTACATACCATTCATTCTTTTAGGGTGCTGGTCCTCCATCACCTTTTACATCTATTATTTTAAAACCTATTGGAGGGTCAGTAGGTACTAAACATTCTGCCATCAACCCTTGCAGACTACATATTAATGCTAAAAGTACATACACTCTCAACACACACTATGGTACACAACACTATCAGCATTGCATACATAAAAGAACAATGTTTCCTCCAAGAAGAGTAACAAGGGACTGTTATGATTTGTTAAGTATAATTAAGTTGGCTCTGGCCATTAAGAAGATGCACTAGCTGGGCATTTGTCAGATTTTCTCAGTGTTAGCCAGTGTTTGATAGTTTGGGTGAATTATTGTCTTATTAATATTATATTGTTTTTTGTACCAATGTTTTGCCAATTTGTGGGTTTGTTTGTATTATTATAATATTTTGTTTCATTTCTTTTATTATGGATATATAATAAACCGTATTCAATATGTCTCAATCTTATTTTCATCAAGACCAAAACATTCTGTAATAGGACCCAGATACTCGCTGCTGAGTCCAAGCAAAATATACCTGGTGGCATTCTTACTTGCTCTTTTTATGAAGCCAAGGAATGCATTCTTCAATCAAGTAAATCACATATGCTATTGACATATTCACCATTTACAAAACATCAACATAAACATAAATTATTTTTCATTTATTTATTAATTTATTATACAGGAAAACCCAATTACAAATGAATATAAACATTAATAAATCCTATATTTTTAAATCCATCATATTTAATGGTCTGATTGACCAAATTACCTCTTTCAATTAATTAATTTTTTTATGTAAGGTCTTGGTTGAAAAATGGCAAAAAGGAGGGAAAATTTTGAAAAGTTGTAGGTTGAGATGGGGAGTTGTTGTCCAGTAGATCGAAGTCATGATAGCTCAAGTGGTTCGAGCAGCGGCGTATTGAGCCGAAGGTTGTGGGTTCGAATCCCGCTTGTGACACTAACTATGTTTTTAATTGGCCCTAACCTCTAACCCATGTAATGATTTAAATCATTTTTATTTAGAATAAATTAAGGTTTTTAGTTGAGATAAAATTTATTTAGAATATGGTTGAGATGAAACATAGTGTTATGAGTGGGGCAGTAATTTTTCATTTCAACCACACCACATCAAAATTATAAATCAGTATAAATATTATTATAATTCAAAATAAACCAGTGTTTTTATTTTGTCACTACTTTATGCAATAATATTCAAAAAATAAGTCAGCCTATGCTTGCACGGGTTAGTCTATCATCAGTGTGTTTGTGTGATTCTGTCAAGATAGGGAAGGTGTCTACAGATCAACCCAGTTAACTTAGACACACCAAGATGATCAAATTACAATCAGTAAGGATTATATTTGTTGTTAGTTACTAAATTTGTTGAAATTTAAATAGGTGAAAATTACTTTAATATCCTCACTGCTTTAGTCTGTACAGATAATTATTTGGAATTGTGAGATGCAGTCTGGAGTGACATAGGTTTTAGAAAACATTTTCTTTATCGTGCCAACATTTCAATCTTTATTGAAATCATCTTCAGGGCCTGGGATTTATAAACTTCGAAACATTGGCATGATAAAGAAAATGTTTTTCTAAAACCTACATCACACCAGACTGCATCTCACAATCTACAAATAATTAATTATACTTTATTTTTAATGTAGCATTTGTTGAGAGAAAAAATTTTTATGAATTAGTTATAGTTTTACGTGGCACTGACAAAAAGCTTTTGAAAGATGGTAAGGAAAAGAATATATATAATTTAATAATAATTAGGTCATAATTCTATCCGAAGGGTAAAATTCAGTAAAATAAATTTAGAACAAATGTTGCCAATAAAATCTATTTTATATGCAGATGACTATTTTTTATTATTACTTTCAATTATTAATTGATTTTTGAACAAATGCAAGTTATGGAACTGTGAGAATGGTGTGAGTTATGGAACATCTGGACAATTTACATACACTAAACAAACAAGTCTAGTGGTCAGGGCCTGAAGATTTAAAAATTGTTATATTTTGAATTACTGTTCTGTTATAAAATTCTACCCAGAATTAAAAAAATAAAATTAAAATAAGGTATCAATAAAAAAATAAAGAAGCACATTTGAACAAATGACAATTGCATTAAATTAATACTGATAAGTAGAATGATTATTAATTATTGATCAAAGATTTACTAAATCTCATTGACGAATTCGTTTAAATTGGTTAGGCGAAAAGATTTTATATTATTTGACAGGAAATTCTACAGGTATCTACCTCCTACAGTCTATAACGGAAGAGCATAGGTTGACAATGAACCAAATTGTGTAGCACTTTAATCAAATTTGTTTGTCGTCTGTTACTTCGACATTTACACTGGTGTTTATAGTTTCAAAGGTTTTAAAAATTCAACTGAGTGAAATGGGGAGCTGTAGAAAAAAGTAATTGATTTTATGTTCAGAGGATGGCGACTTTATATCGTTTTGCAGCAATAAACCTCACATTTAGACCTTTAAATGTTTTGATTTGGTCAATTTTTATTGATTACAATTTATTGATTGTTTATAAAACATATATAAACAATCCAATCCAACAAATCCAACATATATGAACACAAAACAGCAATATCTCACTGGCACTCTCAACACGACACGCAAGAATGGCACAATTACACAGAAGACAAACACTTTGAGTGAGTAGAAATACTTTGATTGAATATAAAAAATATATCTTGCATTGTATAAATTCACTTTTTTCCACATCCTAAATGTATTTGTTAAATGTAAACAATGTTTGTAAATCCCAGGCCCTGAAGATGATCTCAATAAAGNGTTTAACTAACAATTTATTACAAGGTTTTGCTCAAAATAGTGCATTAAGAACAAAAGATGCTTTGCGATTGTGATAAACGCTATGGACTGTACGCGACGTGTGCTTGCGTCGAATAGATGTGCACACCCCACCAAAACGTGGCAAGGCGTCGAGTGTGTTTCCGGCTTAAATTTATCATTAGAAATACTTTTCGTTTTAGTGAAAAGGGCTGTTGAAAGAAGTAAACGCGAATAAAAAAAGAGCGAGAGAACAACCAGTCTTGATAAAACTTTAGTGAGTTTTTTTGGTGGCCCTGAAAAGGGCCGTTGAAAGAAGTAAACTTAGTTTACTTAGCGCTGGTATACTTGGTTACAGCCTTGGTCCCTTCAGAAACGGCGTGTTTCGCTAATTCTCCGGGAAGGAGAAGCCTGACAGCTGTCTGGATCTCCCGACTGGTGATGGTTTTCCTCTTGTTGTATTGAGAGAGTCGTGATGCTTCACCGGCGATCCTCTCGAAGATGTCGTTGACGAACGAGTTCATGATGCTCATCGCCTTGGAAGAGACACCGGTGTCAGGATGGACCTGCTTCAACACTTTGTAAATGTAGATACCGTAGGATTGCTTCCTCCTCTTCTTTTTCTTCTTATCGGTCTTGGCGATGTTCTTTTGGGCCTTGCCGGCCTTCTTCATCGCTTTTCCAGTTGCTTTTGGCGGTGCCATGGTTGGAACTAGAAGACTGAACGAGGAACGAACGCCCCGTAACGTATTTATAACAAACCTGATTACCCCCACTACTAGACTTGTCATTGAAACCCGAATTCCTATTGGCCGCAAAGTGATTCGACATCTTCATTGGTCGCAGAGTAGAAGTTGGAAATACGTTAAAACTATACCAACAGATAGCTCTAATGGATATACATATTCCATTATTTGTGAAATTTCTCAATCAAAATTAAATTAATAATTTTATCATTACTATTTTTTAATGTTAATAAAAATAAGATCAATTTTTAACAATATAGTTATAACTTAAACAAATTAAAAGAAGTGTTTTTACCTTCCTGAGATTGTTTGCTGTACATAGCGAAATGATTTACATAATAAAAATTGGATTGTATTTTTAAGGATTTAATCTAATTTATCGATCTTACATTCAATCATAATAAAAAGAAAAAATTGTTTTTTTTAGTACTCCATTGAGCTCTAAAGTGGGGAACAAAAAATGCTCCGAAATGCAACGGTATCAATAAAAAATCAGCTGAAGAAGTTCACTTTACATTTACCTGAATCTATTATTTATTAATTACGACTTAGTTCCTCTCAAAATGTGTAGAGATTAGTGACCGTTAATCGATAGTTATTCAGATATCACACCCGACCGCATCTCACGATATCTGAATAACTATCCTCTCAAAATGTTGCCATTCTACCTGGACTCCAGCCGCCTGGGGCTCAGCGGAAATTTTCCCGTGGCTTCGCATTTCCAAGGCTTGGCGTCAACCTTTTTAAGGAAAACATGAACCCTCCAAAATTAATATAAAATAATATCTTACGTATAGATCAATAAAGGAAACAAAACACTTCTGGAATAACAAAACCACACGGACAGAGAACAAATTCTGATAAATTAAACAAAACTGAAGAATCCTTACCCTCGTACAAACGAACGTTACCTCTTCTGCTTACTCGAGCGCCGAGCCTCCGGAGCTGGGAAGTCGAAGGACGAAAGGAAATTTTTAAAAAAATTTACCCCACTTGTGCACGTTTGAACTTAGTTAAGGAAATATTTCACAATTTTTTGTTTAACGTCCGATTTTAAGCCATCATAGGAACTAAACCGTAAATAAAAGTCGAAAACGAACTTTAACGTATTTTTTTTGTTTTACGCCCAGACCTAAGAGAGATTTCAGAGCACAAACAAAATGTTATAATGATCTAATATAATTCTCTAATTAGCCTTCGGTTTTCTTTTTAATTCCTTACGAGTCTAAAATAAGTGTCCTTTTACTTTTTTTTTTAAAGGTTTTATTTAAATCATTCTCGAAAATAAAATTCTTTCCATGAGTAACTACCGCCAAATTTAGTGAGACGAATTGGTGGCCCTGAAAAGGGCCGTTGAAAGATAGACAGAAGAAAAAGGCTTAACCTCCGAAACCGTACAGTGTACGTCCTTGTCTTTTCAAGGCGTAGACTACGTCCATAGCAGTGACGGTCTTCCTCTTAGCGTGCTCGGTGTAAGTGACAGCGTCTCTGATGACGTTTTCCAAGAAGACTTTCAACACGCCACGAGTCTCTTCGTAGATGAGACCTGAGATACGCTTGACTCCTCCACGTCTGGCGAGACGACGGATAGCGGGTTTGGTGATACCCTGGATGTTATCACGGAGAACCTTCCTGTGCCGCTTGGCGCCTCCTTTACCCAAACCTTTTCCTCCTTTCCCACGACCGGTCATGTTAACGAAGTGACTGTCTGTACTATTACACTGTGAATGATTACCGGAGCTGCCTAGGGCGCAATTTATACAGGGCTGACGGATCGCTATTGGTCCTTTCGTCCCCACTCCTCGTACATTACATTTTAATTGAACATTGACTTGCAATATTTAATTCTTGCCTTTGAAAAATTTGAAGATTTATTAAATTAACTAATAATATGTTGGGTGGGAGTAAGTCGCATCTATCGTTCATCAAAAACAGCATGGCAAATGTTGAGGCGACAATCCCACCGAGCCAGCGTAATCACCGAGGGTATCTAAAGTCCTATATAAAACCGGCTTTGACGGCCGCGGATAATAACTTTTGATAATGTACTTAGTACCACGGAAAAGTCCGCGTCCGTCCTAAAGCCCGGGACTTAACACTCCCTCGGAGCCATAACGTCTCCGGCAGGCCATGAATGTATTACTGGTTTTCTGAGTCTCCGCGATTTTTTCCAGAAAGACATGATTATAAATTAACTTTACTCAAAGATTATTTATTGTTCCGTTTATACGTGTTGTCAACCAGCGAAAACATAAAATCTCGATTGCTACTTAAATTTTTCGAAAATATGACAATTCATTATGTTTAATAGTTTTAATTGACCGTATTAATTATACTTTTTATTTACTTCTTTTGTATGAGAAAGTTATTGTCACGAGCGGGATAAGAATCAAAGACCTTCGGCTCGTGACACTAACTTTTTCATCTCAATCAAAACCTTAGATAGTAAAAAATAGTAATATTAGATAGTGAAGTATAATTAAGTAAGATATGACAATTTTTTAAATCTTCTGGTTGGAACGGTCTTCCATAGGTGGTTTCTTCTTATTGTAAAGCGCAGATATAAGTCTAAATAAGATATTAAAAATTATCTACGAATAATCATTAAAAAATAACGTTTAATTTTTTAATCTACAGGCTTCGGGTTAGAAATGAAGTATTTTTAGATAAATACCCTTTTTCATTTTTTTGTACACGTTTCAACCTTTATTCGGGGCCTACCAATGAATTTCAATTTCCTGTCTTATTATTTTTTCCCAATCAGTACATGTTTTGTTAATTACTCACTACTTCAACAAATTATAAAAATAAATAAATTAATTGAAATAATATAATCTATTAAGACTCCTAAGAATATATGGGTTTAATTAAACCCATACATGTTTTAACTTAATAATTTTATTATTCTTCCTTATTTTTAATTTATTATGACTATTTAACTTATTAACTTTCTTGTTAATTAACAATCAAGTTCACATGTGAGGAGAGCAAGAAACCTCGTGCTTTTTTCCTGCTAGTAATTTACAAGCTATTTCAAAGAATGTTATATGTTGAATGTGCTATGTAACGGAAAATTTTGTTAGGAAAAACCTAGCCCCAATCCACCTCGTGTAATTTTTTCACGGGAAATAAAACTAAAAATTAAATGCAGGACAAAACCAAAAGTAATGGAGCAAACTGCAAAATTCTTCACGCACAAGCGACACATTGAATTGAAAGACGAAAGTTACTGTGATTGAATGATCGCTTTCACAATTACTTTTTTTAGATTTACCGCAGATTGAATAATCCCAAGATTTAACAAATTAGTGAACTTGTGGTGGCCCTTAGAAGGGCCTTTAAAAATAGTATAAGAGTAAACATGAAATTTACTTCCTTTTTGGTGCTTTCCTTTTGGGAGACGTAGTCTTCTTGGCGGGTTTAGCTGTGGTGACCTTCAACTTCTTCGGCTTAGGTTTAGGTTTGGCAGGAGACTTAGTCGCTACCTTGGTCTTCTTGGCAACGGCTTTAGGCTTAACTGCCGATTTTTTAGCCGGACTTTTCGCAGTTTTCTTTGGCTTGGTAGAAGGTTTCTTCGTTGGTTTGTCCTTCGCCGGGAACTTGAAAGATCCCGTCGCACCAGTGCCTTTGGTCTGGACAAGTTTGCCTGAAGCGACAGCGCTCTTCAGGTACTTCTTGATGTGAGTTGACTTGGAAGTGTCAACTTTGTACTGAGCAGCGATGTATTTGCGCACAGCACGTAAAGATGATCCTCCCTTCTCGTTCAAATTCTTGATAGCAGAATCGACCATCTGAGATGTTGGCGGGTGAGAGGGAACATTCGGCTTCCCGGTTTTGGCCGCAGCTTTCTTCGTAGCCTTTCCTTTCACTCCCTTCTTCGAAGTTACGGCGGGTGTTTCCACTGCAGTTTCAGTCATGGTGAACGTAGACAACTAGTTCTTCAACGTATTTTGTCCTTCCAACACCAGGGGCTGCGTATATATACTTATGGGACGTACCGTAACGAAAACACTCCCGCTCGATCTCAGATTATGCATTACCAACTACTATCCAGTGTTTCTTTTTATTTTTTACTTAGGAATTTTACCACGAAGAAAATATTTTTATACAAATTCTCGATTTTAATCGAATCCTAAATAGTTCGCGCACTATTTCATCCAACAATTCTACACTAGGGGATTTTTTCTAAGGAAGATATACCTTGTTATCCAGAGTACTCCACCTCCTTTAAACAATCATCTACTTGTTTTTAATCGATTGGCAGCTTTTCTTTAAATTTTCACCATCAATTTTCATCCACAATTGAAGAAATACTTCTCTATTATGAGTACGTTTGGAAATTTATTGGAAGGCGATCGTTTCCGGCTCGTAAAATAAATCCAAAAGACGAGAACCGAGTGCGTTAGGCGATTGTATTGTAGAATCAATTAGTTGGATTTTAAGGAGAATTTGAAATATACCAATCTATTTTCAAATGCCAAAATGAACTATTTCGACTCCTTCAAAATTCTGAACTATTTTACCCGTTGAAAGAAATATTTTACGAAATAACTGCGCAATTCATACAGTGCCATTCTATCCCCCAAGACCAAAATTAGGTTAAACTAATTTCTACGTTGTTCTTCTAAGTCTAGGCTTTCCTCCTAATATAATATTTACTAATTAAACAAATATATATTTATATATACAAAAATGTGGTTATTGAGAATTGAGCAGTGTGAAAAAAATTTTACTTTTAAAAAGCGTTGTGCTTTTATTAAATATTTCTTCTCGTAGGAAGATATGCTATGTACTGTGCACACTCATTTAAAAAAAGAAGCCAGAAATGACAGAAAAGAAATCTGAAATGAGTTTCTTACTTTGCTAGACCGGTTTTATTATTTTTATTAAAATCAGGTTGATGGTGTATTAGTATTTTTACTTAGGATATCATGGTATCTTAATAGGATATTTCTCCCCGTAAAGTATGCTGTTTAAATGTTTAAACGTATCCCACCTCATTACTTAGAATGTTAAACGCATTAAGCTCAAAATCAACTTGCAAATAATAAATCCCTTTAGTGTAAATATGTAATTTTAACTCCTTATGTAAGATATATCTTATTTATCGCCGAAACTATTCAACATATTTCCTCTGTTATATGTTTTTTTCCCTCTTACTTTTTATGACTATACTACATTCTGGTTAAAATCATTAAAATAAAAGTCAACAGGAACTATCGGGCAAGCGTGGATAAGTCAAATTCTTAAAATAATACCGCCTACTAAAATAAACTCTAAAATTCTTATGTAATAATAATTTTTTTTGTAAATATAAATTTATAAAATTAATATACAATAATAAATAAAATTGAAGGATCTGACTCTGATTTCAAATTTACGTGTGTAATTTCTACAGCATAGGTTAAGTAATTTATCAGTAACTCCCTAAGTACAAACGTTGCCATTTTCTTTACCATTATATTGTTGCAGATTATTTTAAGTTAAATATTTCAAAAAAAATTAATTTAATTTTAAAATTAAATAATTGCTTATTTCGTTCACAGACCCAATAGGCTCGAAGGGAAGAAAATTTGATGTAATCAGAACAAATTACTTTATTGCAAATGCCAACCGATGTTAGAATTCGGGTCAGGGAGTATTCGGGTTTCCTGTTCCTAATCTTTGGGAAAACAGGTTGTTCTATTGTATATAGTACTGATACTTTTGTAATGACAATGAATGTATTTGTTATTAGATATTTATAAGAGGGCCGGATGAAATATTTAGTACTCCGTTGACCCCCCCCCCCCACCAATTAGATTGTAAAATAGTTAGAAGGGTGATGGAGGAATTTAGAGTACGCCACCACCTGATTAAAAGGTATGTAGTTAAGAAAGAATGTATTTAAGAGTAAATGAGAATGTGAATAGGTTTGGATTCGGGGTCGTGATTGCGTTGGGGACTGAAATGAACTTGCTGTTAATAGCTCCTGGTGCCCAACCTCGGCGGCTGGATAAGAACCAGGTAAGACCTCGGACAACCCGCATCCGGGGTTGAGTTCTAGAAGCCTGCTGGAAATTTTTGTAAAGTACAAAAGCTGGAATTGCAGTTGGACAGCGAGAAGTGGCAGGCCAACTCTGTACATGTGTGTCCATACGTATGATTTGAATAAATCAGTAATAGTAATAGCAGGATGTTATACATTTTATATTTCCATATTAGATTCCATATTTCCATCCTCTCACGATTACAAACAATCAGTAAATAATAATCAAGTACATTATATACTACAAGAGATAACAGTACAAATTAAAACAAATAATAAATGTTTACGATAATTATGGGGAGTCAGACCAAAAAACAAAGGATAGTGATAATGACAATTAATTAAGGTTTTTAGTTGAGATGAAAAAAAGTTAATGGCACGAGAGGGATTCGAATCCACGACCTTCGGCTAGATACGTCGCTGCTCTACCACCTGAGCTATCGTGACCTCGATCCACTCGGACATCAACTCCCCATCTCAACCCCACCTTATGAGTTTTCCCTCCTTTTGCCATTTTTCAGAGTGGATCGAGGTCACGAAAGCTCAGGTGGTAGAGCAGCGGCGTATCTAGCCGAAGGTCGTGAGTTCGAATCCCTCTCGTGCCATTAACTTTTTTTCATCTCAACTAAAAACCTTAATTAATTGTCATGTATTAATTGGTCAAGCGGACCACGAAAGTAGTGAATTAATGATAGTGATAATATTGGAACAAAGGTGGCCAGTAAGTTACTACGTTCAAATATGACAACCGTTCCCGCCAATGGTTCTTCACAGCTCACACAAAATACTTAAGTCGAGGATGAGCGTTTCATCTATTCAGGGCAATCCGCAAAGAGAAGCAGCTTCCACCCTTACAACGTATCTCTGAATCTGGCTCCAAGAGAATAAGTCTCTTTGAAGAAATTGACCAACAAAGTCCAATCCATACCATTAATATATTGTAACAGAACTTTACAAGAGAGCTTCTCTACCAAATTATTTTTCCTTTTTTATTGTATTTATAAAGGTCATCAACCGCGTTGGGTCATTTTCCGCCTTAAAAAGCTTTCCTGCTGGGAAGCGAGTAGGCTGCAGCACATGGACTCCCCCCCGGTGCGATTATTGCGTAAAATAATTATTCATTTTGTATTAAATTTTTTTTCCAGAAATTAATTTAGTTTTTAAGGAAAGTTGAAGAAAATTTATATATTTGGTCAGGTCGTCACCAAGCGAGTCTGGTGTGGGTTGGAATTTCCATCTGATGTCTAGCTTTTTCATATTTGTTATAATTTGTCAAAATGTGCTTAACTGTTATCCTTTCTCTACAAACATCACAAAGCGAAGTACCTTTTCTGCCATGAGATAAGAATGAGTGAACCTAATTCTGAGCCTAGCAATGACAATTTCTTCGTGCCTGGAACCCCTCAGGATGAGGCCCAAGGTTTTTCGCAGTCTTTTACCTCCCTAAGTTTGACATAAGAAGTCGCTTCCCATTCTTAACTGCCATAGTTGCCAATACCTTCTTTTATGCCAATCTGTCCAATCGGATTTCGGTGTTTCTGTAACTTTATCTCCATCAAAGACAGCCTGGACGACGTCAAACGATCCACCTCATTATCAAATATTTCGCCTTGTCCAGGAGACCAACGAATACTACATCATTTCCTTGATTTTGCAACGATTCGACGAAAATAAAATGTCTTGTATTAATGCATGAACAGAAAAGTTGTTTTTGACAGTAGCGTCGACAAAGAATCCTTTTACTGGATGGTACTAATATAGTTACACACTTAGCTATTGCTATAATCTCAGCAGTACAGCTGCTACATACCGTTGGTAAACATATACTGTGAATTATACAGCAGACAGAGCAGGGCAAGTCGCCAAGAAATGGAACAAATCCTCCCACTATAAAGTTCACAGTTAATGTCCTGCTGATTGAAGTTTATAATAAGCTCTATTATTTGGGAGTGGGAAACTGTCTGAATTTGCCATTGCCGTGCAATGTTGATATTGCCACAAATGGACCGTCTAACTAGCTTCAAACCTTCCCCCACAGTTCAACTCTGCCGTTGTTCCGTTCTATGGACAAGGCTATGTTAATCTGCATTATATGCTTTTTAATGTAAAATTAATAATTGAAAAGGTACTTTCAAATCCATCAATGAACAAATTTAACGCACTACTCAATTTATTTAGTTTCAAATTCGTTTAAATAAAAAATAAAATTTAGTTTAAAAAATAATTCCTCAGGATTTGATCTGAAATCTTTTCCAGAGAATGAAAAGGCGCTTCACAGGCGTGATTCGTACCAAAAGGGGACATACACGGCATTAAAGGAAACAAATTTTTCTACATTTTTATTGAATTTATTTTATTATTTTTTGTTCTTTACTCAATAATTGTTTGTTTAGAATTAGATAATAAACGTTTTCTTTTTAAATGTCTTATTTTTACAACCAAACCTATTTTTTATATGAATAAATCTCTAATGAATAATCTAAATAGATTAAATTTTAGAGGTAGTGCGTTTATTTTGTCCATTAATGTAGTTTTACAATAAACAAATTTTATTGTAAAACTATTTGAAACATATAAATCAGTAATTTTTAAAATCTGATTATGAAGCAACACGAATTTTTGTATATACTATTTAAATGCAGTTAAAAATTGCATTTACGTTACATTTGTTGTAGTTAGGGCATGACCCTTGTACACCACCAACTTGTTACACTATAAGTCATTATCTATGTGCTTATAAAAATCACACCTATAATCTATAATTAATTAATATATTTAGTGATATGTTCGGTAGCCCTGAAAAGGGCCGTTGAAAAAGGTGGCTAAGAGAGAATTTAAGCGCTGTTCTCGGTCTTCTTTGGGAGAAGGACGGCTTGGATGTTGGGAAGGACACCACCCTGGGCGATAGTGACTCCAGAGAGAAGTTTGTTCAACTCTTCGTCATTCCTGATGGCCAACTGAAGGTGACGAGGAATGATCCTGGTCTTCTTGTTGTCACGTGCGGCGTTGCCTGCCAATTCGAGAACTTCAGCGGCCAGATATTCCATGACGGCAGCCAAGTAGACGGGTGCACCGGCTCCGACCCTCTCGGCGTAGTTGCCTTTCCTCAGAAGACGGTGGATTCTTCCGACCGGGAATTGAAGTCCTGCACGGCTCGACCTGGTCTTCGCCTTTCCCTTCGTTTTTCCACCTTTTCCACGTCCGGACATGTTATTAGTAATTCAAACTTCACTGCCTAGTGATGAGTGAGAGAATACAATGGAACAAATACCCTCCAGAAGTTTTTTAAACTTCGTTAATAGATTTTAAATTGGTTCCCCTGCTGTTATCGTGGTTTCCAGCGACAGCTGTTGAAATAACAGTAAATTAATATTTATTTGGTTTTTTTACATTAAAATAGAACTAGATAGTGTAAAAAGATTCATTATTATGGTTTTTAATATATTGTTTTTGGTTGGTTCAATTAACAAAATAATCACTAAGTTTTACAGTACTGATGTTTGGGTTTCCTGGAAAGCTAAAAGAAGTGACTGAGTATTTCTCATTGGCCCCATCCCTGATAGTTTGAGACGTATGCACATACAGTTAAATAAAAAAGGTTAAATAAATCTCAAGGCGTTTTGGTGATTTTATAGTTTTTATTGATTGAAAATTTTAACACTAATCCTTGAAGTAAAAACAAATTAAGATGAAAAGGAAATTTTAAATATTAAGTTTTACAGTCCTGATGTTTGGGTTTCCTCGAAAGCGGAAAGAAGTGACTGAGTATTTTCTCATTGGCCTCATCCCTGATAGTTTGAAACGAATACACATACAGCTACATAAAAAAGTGAAATAAATCCCAAGGCATGTCTTGGTGATTTTATAGTTTTTATTGATGGAAAATTTTAACACTAATCCTTGAAGTAAAAACAAATTAAGATGAAAAGGAAATTTTAAATATTAAGTTTTACAGTCCTGATGTTTGGGTTTCCTGGAAAGCTAAAAGAAGTGACTGAGTATTTTCTCATTGGCCTCATCCCTGATAGTTTGAAACGAATACACATACAGTTATCGCATGATCTTTATTATTACATTTTAAAGACTTAAACAACTGTCGCACAACACTCTGGAGGCAAAGTGAATGAATGTGAGAATGTAATTTATGGACGTTATGGAGAATGGAATGGACGTTTTATCCCCAATTACCCTCTATGAATATCGAGTACTCTGGAGTAGTTAAACTAATTATGTGAATGTTATTTATTAGCGTGAATGGAGGGCTCATCCCAAATTACCTCGAGGCGTATCTAATACACTGGGGTAGTGTGAACGAAGTCTGATGTATGAATGAAATTCGTTTAAAGTTGTAGATGTATCGACCATTTTTTTATGAATGATCTGGATGAAGAACAAAATTGCTTTCGACCTATTTATGTATTTATAATTGAAAATTAAAATATACCCTGAAAATGTCCTTAAAATAGGTCAAAAGATGGCAATAGCGATGAAATTTGTTTTATCTATAGCATACCGAGCTCCAGATTATTCGTGTATATGTAATTTATTAGCGCGAATGAAATAGCTTAACCCCCAACACCACGAAAAATATGGAGTTCTTGGGGTAGTTTGAACGAAGATATGTGAAAGTATAATTATTAGTATGAATGGACGGGCTTATTCCCTTTAATTAGAAGTAATTTATTAGTGCTTATAAAGGAGCTTATGAGTTCTCTGGAGTAGAGTTAATGTAAGCGTTAAGTTAGCAGTTATGAGGGGGTTATCCCCTAATTGCCCTGAGGAATCTTGAGTAATATGACGTTGGGTGAATGAATGAATTAGCGTGAATGAACATTATCCCCAATAACCGAGAATTATTGAGTACTCTGGGGTAGTGTGAATGTAATTTATTAGCGCGAATTGAGTAGCAGCTTATCCCCCAATACCCCGAAGTATATGGAGTTTCTGGGGTAGTTTGAATGAATTTATTAGCGTGAATGGAGAAGCTTATCTCTCAATGACCCCCTAGATTATTGAGTTCTCTCTCGTGTTAATTTAATTTATTATACTTACACTTTGGGATAGTGTGGATGACTATCAAGTTTCATCTCGCTTCTGTGTTTATATATATTTGTGTTTATTTATACTCAATTGATCAGGACCTGAGCTACAGAGAGGCTAGTAGATTAAAACATGAGAAAGACAAGAAAAAGAAAAGAAAGAGAGGGCAGGAGAGAATGTAGTTTGCCGGTTTTAAAGCTAACGAAACAAAAAAATAAGAAGAAAGGGAAATAAGTTTTCAAAAGGTAACTGGGGCAACTAACGGTGTATACGCAGTAATTTTTACTTATTTTGTAGAAAAAGACAAAAGACAACATTTGAAATAAATTATGGACACGTGGGAACGTTATTTAAAGTTTTGCCAAAATGAAAATATCCAATTATTGTTAACAACAGTACAAATGTTGTTTTAAACATAATAAACACTAAATTCTGAATAATACCTGATGAAGGCGCAATCTTGCAAAAAGTCAACGGATTATTAATTATTTTTAAGAGACGAGAGAGGTAATCTGAAAAGCAAAAAGTGCTTGTATTCCGACGACGGTTTATCGAGGAAAAGGGTGGGGCACAATGAGCCATGTTGGGTACAAACTACAAAGCGACATATATTTACGCAGTTAACATTAATAAAAATTATATATTTATAAAAAAAAATACAAACATAATTTAAAACTTATAATTTTATGTGTAGTTTTTATTCTGACATACATGAAATCGTATGGTCAAGTATGACGAGAGTTTTAACTACCGGTTTAAAAAAGCTTCTAAAAAAGCAAATAATATATTGTTTTATCCATCAATCGAAGATATTAACTGTCATAAATTGTGTTTTGAAGATTTGTAGAGAAAACGTTTTGTTCATGATGTTTATTAGTGAGGCCGAGCCGACCTCCACCAGCTGGTAACCTGGCCTATCGCGGAATTAGATTTTCTAACCACGATACCGAACCGATTTTTCTTTTGGTCAAAAGCCGGGTTTTTTTGTTGTCGTTTTAGTCGAATTTTAAATTGAAACAAAGGAGAATTTACGCCAGTTTCGCTTTCACAAGTTGGAACCTATGGCTACTTTAATCACATCCCGCATTATTTGTTGTCCAGGTATTTTTTTTTTTGCGACGTTCCTTATCACCGATGTGAGACGAAATATAATTTGTTTTTAAACAATTATTTCGCTCTTAACTTTATTTCAGGTTGTTTCTTCTCAATTTATGCATTTTCAGGAATGGCTTCATGATGAGTTTTAATCATTTGTTGAAAATGGTGTTTTACAGCGATCAATGAGTAAAAGAAAGCAGTTTTATGCATATACCGGGGTTCAAGCTACTCGTGTCAAACTTGTCAGTAAATTTCGCACCTCCGGATTGACAAAAAAGTTCGGATGAACCACGGCCGTATTCTCATCCATTTCGCAGATATTCAACATTTTTTGTTTTTCTCAGCTACCTACGGTTCTTATCATAAATAGCTCTTGAACTATTCATTTTTGTGGAAATACAAAAAAAGCAGTTATAAAAGCGATAAATTTCCTTTAAGAAGGCATCCTGCTAGAACTTCCAATTTAATTTTTAGTAAAAAAATCTAAATCTTTCAAAAATTGCTAAAATTAAAATTAGTAAAAATAAAACTAAATTTGCATCCTCATTGGAAAAATTCTCACTAGAGCTTGGCAAATTTCATAAAAACTTCTTTGTTTAATAAGTTTTCTAGCGGTACACTCTTTTGTTTAATTACATCTAACCAAAATGCAGAAATTCTTTGCTAAATGGAAAAAAGTGGTGATAATAATGTGAAAACAGGGCGAATGGGGTTAATGTAGTAATTGAACTTTTTGTCCTGGGTAAAACGTATACTGACTGCCAAGAACAAGAGCGTTATGTTGATGAGACTTTAGCTAAAAAATTTTGTATGTAGAAATAAAATACAATTTACACTTGTAGTTAAAGCAAATGGAATTGCTGAATTTCATAACATGGACTTAATTAAAAAGCACAAAAAGAAAGAAAAAATGAAACAAAACATATAAAAAAAGAGATAATAACCATATTGAACAACAAAGCAGAAAAATTGGACAAAATATCTTTGCTAAATACCTGCAAAAGAAAAAAAAAGCAACGATACAAAAGTTGAAAAACCTAACTTTAATATAATAAAAAAAGCACAAAAGAGAAAAAAATCAACATAAAAAAAACAAAACATAAACATAAACATCCGGAGCTGGAAACGAGTGATCGTCCTCACCTGATTGAGGATTGGCCATATGCGGTTGAGGGGCACCTGCTTTTGGGCATAAGGCCACGCATTTTTATTAATTATCGTGATTGGTGAGGGGTGATGGTGAAATGTAGTGTCAACATCACCCCTTCAGCAGTGTGTGAGCTTAAGGTCATGGTGGAATATTTGTAAAAGTACCTCATCGAGCCTAATTTAGGTTAGATTTTTAATATTGTGTATAGGTTGATGGAGGAATATCCAGTACTCCACCAACCAATCAGAATGAGTGCATGCATGAATTTATTTATGATTGTATTTATTTGTGGGACTGATTTATCAAATTTAAGCAGTATTAGGCTAGATTATATTTTGCATGTGTTTGGGACTGGAAATAACCTAGCTGTTGATAGCTCCCATCGAAGCCTAATCCCGTTGGAAGGGAAGCGACGATCTCCTGGGCATGGCTTAAAGGGAATACTAGCGACCCAGCCACCCAACCCCAGGTAGTGGGTGAACTCCCTGATGTATAGACACTAAGGTCAGCACATTGAGGAGTGAATCCCTTCTAGGTGAAAGTCTGAATAAACATAGTGAACAACTAAATTACATTGCATTTTTCTTTGGAATATTACATATATTCAAGTCTTTTGCCCATTAAATTCAGTTAATTCATCCTAGGGTCACTGATTTCAATAAAACTTTTTTAGATTAGATTGAAAAATATTAGATGTGTGTCTGAGGGTTCTGTCCAGTGAGAAAAATTAGATGTAAAAATGACCAACAAATTTCGTTCACATGACTGCCACTGTTCTCAGCTCTCTCAATCAATTTAAATTGAGATAATAAATTTAAATGAAGATTTTTAGTACATAGCAAACAGAAATTACTTTTACTTGTTTTATATTATGTAAAAGCACTAAGTTATTTTGTTTTTTATTAGTTGCAACAGAATTGCAAGAAAATGTATTGGAATAATTTAAGAGTGGCTGGCTTACAGAAAATGTCATTGGAATTAATTCCAATCATAAAAGTGTGCTTATGAGTCTGTATTTTAATTTATTGCCTTGAATATTCCTTAAATATTATGTGTGTTTCTTCTTAAATATTGTGTTAGTGACTATGAAATGTTTCTTTTTCAGCTGCTCGTCAGGCTGCACGCAGGTTTTTTTGCATCCATTCATCCAGAATTTTGGTAAGTACTAATGTTAATTGTATACTTAACATAATATTCACAACTATTAATATATTGAATACATTCGCATAGGGAAATGGAATTCGCATACACAGATACAATTTACCGACAGTATCCATCCAATTGAGAAATTATGCTGCCCCGTCGGAAAAAAAGGTATTCCAGAGGAATAAACCTCACTGCAACGTAGGCACAATAGGCCATGTTGATCATGGTAAAACGACACTAACAGCCGCTATAACCAAAGGTAAGAAGTAGAGCATAAAACATGTATTTAATTTGTTTAAAATTTTAATAATATATTAATATATATAAATATATTAATTAACTATTTACCCTGATAGTCCTAGCAGACAAGAAGCTTGCAAAGGCAAAAGGCTATGCTGAAATTGACAATGCACCAGAAGAAAAAGCCAGAGGTATCACAATCAATGTAGCACACATTGAGTACCAAACGGATAGCCGCCATTACGGTCACACTGATTGTCCCGGACATGCTGATTACATTAAGGTGCTGATTGGTAACTTCCGTAATAATTACAAATTCATGAAAAAATGATCTCATTTTAGAATATGATTACCGGTGCTGCACAAATGGATGGAGCTATACTTGTAGTGGCAGCCACTGATGGAGCCATGCCTCAAACAAGAGAACACTTGCTTCTCGCCAAACAAATTGGAATAAATCACATTGTTGTTTTTATCAATAAGGTAATATTATTTAAATTTATTTTATATATTATGTTTAAAAAATGGGTCCGTAGGTTGATGCAGCGGATAAAGAAATGGTTGATTTAGTGGAAATGGAAATACGAGAGCTCCTCTCAGAAATGGGTTTAGATGGAGACAATGTTCCAGTAATTAAAGGATCTGCTCTTTGTGCTCTTGAAGGGAGAGAACCTGAAATTGGTAAATTTTATTTTAAAGTTTACATATATAATTTTTGAATGAAGCATTCAGCAAAACAATTGAATATTGAAACAATAATCCATCTCCCATGGAATAATACATTCATGTTTGATATAATTTGAACAAATTATTTCTAATTTATTGCTATTTATATGTTATTGCTACCATTAATTATTAATATTAATTCCAGGTGCAAATGCGGTTTTGGAATTGTTAGATGAAGTTGACAAATACATTCCTACTCCTATTAGAGAACTGGATAAGCCTTTCCTTCTTCCTGTTGAGCACGTATACTCCATTCCTGGTAATTAAATACTAGTAATATTACTTGATATGCAGTTTACTGGAACTTTACTGCTTCTCAGGAAGAGGGACAGTTGTGACGGGGAGGCTCGAGAGAGGTGTCTTGAAGAAAGGCACAGAAGTCGAGTTCCTCGGCTTCAGTAAATCATTCAAGTCGACAGTCACAGGAATCGAGATGTTCCATCAAATCCTGGAGGAGGCTCAAGCCGGTGACCAGCTCGGCGCACTCATCAGGGGTGTCAAACGTGATGAAATTAGGAGGGGTATGATCATGTGTAAACCTGGCGCTATGACTGCTCAAGACCATATTGAAAGTCAGGTATAAACGTTTAATATTTTTACTTAATCACTGTTATCAACGTTTGGTTTGTTGGAAAAGGTTTATTTATTGAATAAAGACGAGGGAGGTAGGAACAAACCTCTAGTGCCATACACGCAGGTGCAAATGTTTAGCAGAACTTGGGACTGTGCTGTGCAAGTTACTGTCCCTGATAAGGAAATGGTAATGCCTGGAGAGGATGCCAAGTAAGTTTTTCCCATCGTTTATTTGTAATTTCTTTTTCTTTATTAAATATTTTTTGTCCTTAGGGTAGTACTTAAACTCATTCGTCCAATGGTCTTGGAGAAAGGACAACGGTTCACTCTCAGAATCGGATCCACAACAGTTGGAACTGGTGTCGTAACAACCATCTGCCAACAGCTTACTGAAAAGGAGAGGCTCCTACTTACAGAAGGAAAGAAGGCAAGAGAGAAAGCTCTCGCCCAGGCTGCTACTAATTAAATTTTATTAAAACTGCCCACAAAATCTTGTACAAAAATGTAGTTACATTAGCAGCCCAAGTATAGTAACATAGTTTTTTTCTTTTGTCTTGTTCTATTATACTTTTTTTATTTATAAAAATTTAAAAAAATCAGATATTTCATGTATTTATTCATTTCTTCCTGATTGACATATCTTCTTACCTGTCCTCTCCTCTCTAACTCAGATTATGATGTGAATGAATTTATTAATTTCTCACCTTACTTCACGTATGATCAGCACTTTTCGTTCTCCAAGTGAGTTACTGAGAGTGAGATCTCGTCCTCTACTGTCTTCCTTTTATTTTCACGTTGATAAAACTGGCGTTCTGTTTAAATTATTTTTAGTGCTAGTGAGTGTGAAATTTAGAAAACAAGCAACACACTGCCTTAGTTTGAACTATAGTGTAAAACTAAAGAGACTAGAGCACGACAAAAGCATCATGCTCGGTAACTGACTTGAGAGGGGTAACCGTGGTGGCAAGGGGGGTCAGTAATTCACTGGGGGATCAAGAACACACCTCAGAATCAACCCCCCCCCCGGCGTTGGCAGACCTTGGTCAAATCCTTCTAGCCACTGAAGTTAGGCTACAGTGGCTATCAACAGCTAGGTCATTGCAACCAAATGCATTCTTTCCTATTTGCACTCCATTTATTCAGGGTTGAGTACTTGATATTCCTCCATTACTTATTTTATCTATTCATTGGATATTGTATATCTATTAATTAACCTAATTGAGGGTTGATGCTTGATGGCATGTCAGGTGCCATACCTACCTACATGTGTATTGTATATCTATTAATTAACCTAATTGAGGGCTGATGCTTGATGGCATGACAGGTGCCATACCTACCTACATGTGTATTGTATATCTATTAATTAACCTTATTGAGGGTTGATGCTTGATGGCATGTCAGGTGCCATGCCTACCTACATGCTCTCTATATGGAACCAAGGAGTCATTCTCTACATGCCAGGCACACGTTTTTGGGTTCATACTGCCCTGGATCTTATTTCCACTGAGCATACTGCTTGAAATATTCTCCTCTGAGTGATACTGCTCAAATGTTGTGTAATCAGGATTCAATTCTCAGAGACTTTTACTAAGTGGCCACGGGGAGCTGTTAGCAATACGTCTTTACTTATTACATATAAACCCATTTGTTTGGTGGTATATATATTACGGTATGCATATTTCAGTTAATATTATTATTAATATTCAATTCTTTTTCATATCGACCAAAAACCTTAGATAAAAAAAAAAGTATGTTTAACTGAAACACATTTGATTAGGTTTTGATAGATAAGTAAAGCAAGTTTCTTAAATAACTATATTTGTTTTACACAAATTCATTTAATAACTATGTTTGTTACATCATAAAATGATTCTTAGTTATAGTTTTTGTAAAGAACAGGAAAACATGCATGATTAGGTTGAAAAAATGTTTATTAACTGTAAACATTTATTTAACAACAAATTGAACCTATTTATAATAAAATAAAAGAAAGCAACATACGAAAAGAAAATTATGTAGAAAAATCTTACAGGCAGTACCATCGCTGTTGTGCAGCCTCAATTTCTATAGTTAAGGGAGGGGGAGATGTAGGCAAATTTCTTACTTTATACAATAATATACACTTAAAAAGAGAATCATCGGGTATGACAAAGTAAGGCATAAAAATAAGTTGTAGTGACTTTGTTTGACACAAATTATAATATAAAAGAAAACAAGTTTACAACCAAATCTTAGACCAATCACGTTAAGTTTTATTTCAATTTGTTGTTTACAAGTCCTCGTCGTCCTCAGGGAGTGGTGTGTCTTTAGCTTTCTGAAAAAAGCGATGGAAAAAATTAACTACATCGATGATAATTGAATAAATCGTAGTTACCTGAAGTTCCTCTTCTATTTGGGTTCTCCATGCGGGATCCATGTTAACTTCAGGCGGTAAGAGAGCTGGCATTGCAACAAATTCAAGGTTCGGATCTCCGATCAGTTTCCTTGCAAGCCAGAGGAATGGTTTCTCGAAGTTGTAATTACTCTTAGCACTAATGTCATAATACTAGAAATAACAACAAATCAGAATAATTCAAGAAAGGTTAAAATATGCGTATCAATGAAACATAAAAAAAGTTTGACTTTTGTTGTAACACATGCAGTCTTGTCTGTACTTTTCTTTAAATTATTTTTTATAAATTACAAATTATTGGAATCTTTTGTCAACTGAAAATTACCTGGAGGTTCTTCTTTCTATGGAACACGATGCTTTTTGCTTTAACCTTTCTGTCTTTGATATCGACCTTGTTTCCACACAAAACTATGGGGATGTTTTCGCAAACTCGTACTAAATCCCTATGCCAGTTGGGTACATTCTTGTAAGTTACCCTAGATGTAACATCAAACATGATAATGGCACACTGGCCCTGAATGTAATAGCCGTCTCTAAGGCCTCCGAATTTCTCCTGGCCAGCAGTGTCCCATACGTTGAATCGGATCGGCCCTCGGTTAGTGTGGAAAACAAGGGGGTGGACTTCGACACCCAGGGTAGCCACATACTTCTTCTCAAACTCTCCCGTCAGATGCCGTTTGACAAATGTAGTTTTGCCTGTGCCACCGTCTCCCACAAGCACACATTTAAATGATGGCATTTCCTGGTCTCGTTCACCCATTGTTGTTTATTTATTTTAACTAAAAAATAAAAACTAACATTATCAGCGAAATGATGAAGTTTGTCAAAACAGCAGCTACTCGTAAGATGAATAATTATGCCAATTAATTTTCTTTCACAGCTAGTGGACATATATACAAAAATTTCAGCCATTCAAATAATTAATTTTAAAAGGCCTTTCAGTTAATTTCAAATACACAAGAATAAAATGATTAAAAATGTAATTGGACTGATCAATTAATAATGAGTTGTGTAAATATTAAATATAATATAAATATAATAATAAAATATAATATAAAAATAAATTTATATTTTATTATGATGAATGTCCACATGCAAAAGATCTTAAGTCGAGAAATACAGCAACAAGAGGTAAATATACTCAGACTGCTGTATGAATATTTGTCACTACAACTATTTGAATGGAGCAACTCTAAACAAGAAAACAGACACAATCTAATCAAAGTGAATGGAAAGTCCCCTTAGAAATCATGCCATGTCCCTTTAGGCTGCCCTTTTCATCCCTTCAAATAATAAGAGGGCGGAGAAAAAATCATTTAAAATCAAATGCATGATGAATTTGATAGCAATATTTTTTTTAAACAATAGGTTTTTATAAACTATTACATTACTCATCCTCATTACATAATTTGATAAAATTTTGTGATAGGGGATGGATAAAAAATTCCAGGGGAGACAGAGGGAATCGAACCGTGTGGGTCTAGTCTACAAGCTGAGTCTGATGCACTAACTACTACTTGGATACCACAATATGATCATACGGTCCTGATGTATGGATCTCTAAGTTGTATTTTAGCTCATGCGTGCATCACATACACACTGAAAATGGCAAAATGCATCTCACAGATCAACCCAGTGAAGGTAGACAGATTAAGATGATCGATAAGGATACAATTAATAAGTAGTTATTTATCACTGCATTGTAAAGGTTTGATTAACCTTAACAGAATTCTGTTCAATGTTTGGCAATTTCACAACAGAACAAAGAAAATTTAGAACATGGGTATAAATTGACCGTGATCCTTGCTCCATAAGATTGAGCTAAATATGCAACTGGATGACAATGAACCACAATGTTTTAAATATTTATTTTATTAAAAAAAAAAAAAATCAATTGTAAATCGACAATTTTTTGTGTAAAGGCAGGTTTACACTACGATTTATCATCTATTAACAGGTTATTTTCTCGTCCTTTTTCATATCACTTTAAATTTTTGCTTTGAATCTGAACTTATGAGATCTTTCATCCCAAATTCTGTATTTATTTGTTCATGGAAGAAGTTTTTTTTGAAGTCACAATATACCCCTCCCCTCTTAAAATATCTTGGAGGAAAGACAATCCAGAGCAAGATAGTAATGACTATTACTTCTATCAGGAATGTTGGTATTACAAAAATAATTTCAATCTGGACTGGACATGTGTTACATTGCCCGTTATTTTTCATTAAGTTCAATTTTTTGCACCATCATCACACAAATTTTTGTTAATAAACTTATTCATTATTATTGCATCACCACCTCGCCTACTTCATTCATGCCTATGATGAGGGACCAAATAAAAAAAAGAGGACAAAAATCAAGTGATACTAGAAATTTATCAAAGCTAGCATAACCCAATTTAATTAATTAATTTCACGCAAATCATCAATTGTCTGAGTGGGTAGTCAGTTCTAGTAAGATATGCAGAAATTAAAAAGAAATAGTCAAAATTACATAAATGTTATTTTAAAAAAAAGGCAAATATATGGGCGAAATGTACAAACGACTAAACACACTTGCTTTCAATTAACTTCATTTCTCCTCCGACTTTTGGAATTGAGTGTCATTGATATCTTGTTTGCTTAGCTATTGAGTGAGCAGAACAGCTGGGATGACAATGACAGCGAGAAAAACTAGCGTCAATATACTTTTTTCCAATTTCTTGCATCAAAAATGCAATAGGAAACTATTTCTTAGCTACTAGCTTGTTCCCGTATGCTGAATGAAAATAGAGATCAGATCAGTATGTTATGTGCTTGGTCTCGTTTATATAATTAGTCAGGCCGGATTGGAGACTGAGTGCCTCACCAGTACGATGTTTTCAATCTCACCCTCACTAGTTTATTATGAATTTGATCTCAGTCCTGTAAATGAACAAACTGAGTGGCGGCTGTAGCATCACCATATGTGATGCTATACTATTTTCCATTGCTTAATATTGCGAAATTTTTTTCAGGTGTTATAGTCGACATTTTGGGTGCTTTGAGAGCGAAGCTTTCATCGGGCATCAGAAATCAGGTCATTGCTATTGTGCTGGTTTAGTTAGTGGGTCAGCAGAACATCTCGGATGACAGCAGCAACGAAGGGAGAAGAGAGGAAAAACTGGGAGAATTCAGAATTCCTACCCAATGCTTCATTGTGACTGGTCATACCTTCTTTTGATGTTTGTTGTGTCAATATACTTTTTCCTTTTCAAATTGTGCCTTTTCTAAGTTGATAGTGAACTATCCCCTTAGCTAAGCACTTCTTGTTGCTAATTGTTTATGGAATGAAAGTACCAGGTAACATCAGTGCGTTGTGTTGTCTCAGTCAAGTTAGTAGTCGAACTGGGTAGACGCTTAGCTTGTCTCCCCAGTGCAATATTTTTATCTCTATCTCGTTAATGGTCAAGTTATAGTGTAGTCTCACTCTGCAATTGTAATGTATTTTGTCTTGGTCCAATGTATTTCATCAAACTGGCCATGTGGGAATCGAGTATCATTGGTATTGTGCTCGCCGGGTCAGGAGAACAACTGGGATGACAATGAGGGAAAAAAGCAAACTGGGAGAATTTAGAATCAATCTTATTCAAGGTTTATCAAACATACTTTTTTCATTTTCAAACCTTTTCTTTTCTCCATTTTCTTCATATATATGTTTTCTACTTCATTATTAAAGACTAACAAATGTGATAGTTCTTGTTGAAAAATGATCATTCATAATTACAACGTATTATTCTCACTCCGTATTGTGGAATGCTTCACGATTTTATGCGCCATCCTTGCACAGGGGCCATACTAATCTTCTCTGTATTGTTCCGATGTTAGTATATGTACTGCCAAAGCGAGTAGAACCATCCCTCTGTATTATGTCGATGAGTGATGCTACGTTCCGTCATGGAATGGAAATTGAATCCCCTTGGTCCAAACTTTCAGAGTTCATTCACATTACATCAAGAAGTACATTGCTGTTTACATACTTAGACTTACTTGATGCAATTTGTTTCAGGTAGGTCATAACACGTAAACAGGCCCTAATGCACTTAACTTCATTTCCCCTCTGACTAAAGTTTGTTGCTGATGAGACATGTCATGTTAAGCTAACCAAATCTTATACATAGAGACTAGAACTTATGAATCGCATGTATATAAAGACATGAAAATATGATATATTTTGTTGGAAAATGACCGTTTTTAATATAAAACTTATTATTTAACCTCCAAATCGGTGTTTTGTTAATGAGACATGCCATGTTCAACAGTGACTAGAATACAAATGAGATGAATGAATGACAACAATGTTAGTAACAAGAAAGCCGTGTCAAGTGACTAAATACTAAAATAAATAAAAACCATAAATACAGTAAGGACAATGCAATGTGCGGTAATGCCCAGCGTGCAGGAGGGGGCTTCGTCGTAGACACAAAAAATGAAGGAAGGTTGATCATAGACATGCATTTATGTTTTCTCCGGCGGAAAATCTGATTTTCAAATTAAAACTAAAAGTAAACTAAAAGACTGAAAACTGTTCCTTTCTTGGAGAAAACCTTAGTCAACTCCAAAGCGGGGAATCCTAACCAAAAGGAAGGACGGCATGGCGAACGCACGTTTCGAGCGTTCCGTTAAAAAGACAGAAAAGGAGCGCGTCGAAGGATCCGAGCTCGAAATTCCTTCCGGCTATTTGATTTTCAACAAAAATAAATGGATTTTAAACTGTAGAAATAAAAAAGACGATTCGGGGGAAATAATGGCGCCAGTTATAGCGTATCACAGGAAAATGGCACTAAGGCGCCGGAATAGAGAAGTTGTTTCGGGAGTTCTACAGGTCGGAGGGCGAAAAGCCAAGCCAGGAATTAAAGATTGGCCCTTAAAAAACGTGGGGAATGATTTTGAGCCGGAAAGAAGACGGAATATAAACGGGATTGACTCGTAAAACTCACCTCGTCTCCAAGTCGTTACGGTCCACAATGGCGTTTTCCAACTAACGACAAAAGCCGTACCGGACCGACGGGCGGAAACTGGCAACAGCGGCGGCCCCGGAGAAAGGTGAAAACAAATTCGTGCCGAATTAAAAACTCGGACCGGCAGTCGAAAGTAGAAAAAATCCCGATTTCAAATAAATCAACGGCAATTTTGTCTTTGACGAAAAGGATAAGAACGAGAAAGGAAAGCGCGAGCGTAAATAATGTTGTTTTGCGCACGCGCCCTGCAACTGACGGCAATGCAGGAGAGTATCGATTTTTACTCCTCCGCCGTTCAGTATCTGCCTAGTTAATGTGGTGATGTTGCTTTCTGTGAATAGACTGTGAATGGGTATAAATATCGTGCTGTGCGGTCCGCGTCCTGTTTAGTGTTTTCCCCGTGAGACTTTAAGCCCAAAAATGACGAAGGACAGGTTAGCGGCTCTAAAAGCGGTGAGTTCAATTTACGACCGGTGCCCCTGTTTTTACCCCGAGCTCTGACTTTCTTCATTCCACCTGAAACTGACAAAAACTCCTCAACCCCCTGAGCCGATTTCGGACAGCGGGACGAAGTACATTCGAAGGATTTACAACGAAAAGTACTGTCTTGGCTATGTAAATTTTTTTAATATGATCGACTGGAGCCCCACCCCTGGACGCACCCCCTGGGGTTTGAAACCCGCGGACGATTCCCCGATGTGTGAAGTCGCGCTTTTCCACTCGGCGGTTTTCCGACCCCCGTCAAAAAAGGGGACTGTAAATCAACAGGCGGGTCGACGTCTTGTCAAAACCCCCCTGGTCTCCTTACACACCGGACATCATCTTTGTACTCTGGAAAATGATGAATTTTCTGAAATGGACGATTGTGATTTTTTCAGGCCCAGAGCGACGATGATGACGTCCCGGACGAAGTCGCCGTCAACGTCGAGGGGCGGGACGGCTTCATGGACGAGTTTTTCAACGAGGTAAGTCCCGTTTATGCAATTTTCTATACTTGTGACTCACCGGAAAAGAAAATCGGCCTTCGGAAATGAAAAACAAAAATTCTTTCACTCTTGTCACATTAATTACACGATCTCGGAATTTGACGTTTTTCAAAATTTTCTTTTCACCGCCGTTTCATTTCACACGCGCGTTCTCGAATTTAAAAATCAATCAAAATAAATCGAACGATATTATTATAAACCGATAACTCAATTATAATAATTTGATTTTACATTTGAATTGTTATAGTATAAACATATAATTAACCATCCCTATTAATAGAAATTGATCCAATTTAAAAACAATTAAAACAAAAACTTTAATCGGAAAGTTATTGTATTTGAACAATATTCTTCGTCCGGAAAATGTCCGTTCGTTATTACCAATCTTTTACAAAAATATTAAAAGAAAAAAAAACCATTAATAGTTTCACTAAAATTCTTTCACTGTAAGTAACATTAATGGCTGACACGTTTATCAAGATTTGCATGAAAATTTAATGTTCTCTTGTGGAATTTTCAGTGTCATGTTTTGAGCGTATACTGTTCTTCTTTTTCTTTTGTTATTCCCTTCCATTTTTCTCAGTTTGGACAGTTTTTATTATGTATTAATGAAAATTGGTCCAAGTAATAAACAATACAAAAACTTAATCGGACAATTTATGCATGTGATGAATATTCTTAGCCATGAAAATGTCCTTTCGACTATCACCCATCTTTTATATAAGTTTTAAGAGAGAGGAAAGAAACCGTAATATTTTTATTGAAATTAACTTTTAATTAATTAACATTAATGGCTGACAAGTTTATGAAAATTTTTATCAAAATTTAATGATCCCATTTGGAATTTTCAGTATTATGTTAAAGTGTACACTTTTATTCTTTGTCTTTTTTATTCTCTTAAGTTCTTCTCGTTTTGGTCAGTTTTTACTTGTATTGATGAAAATTGATCCAAGTTATAAACAATAGAAATACCTAATTCGGACATTTTATTCATTTGAAGAATATTCTTCGTCACGAAAATGTCCTTTTGGCTATCAACAATCTTTTATAAAAGTTTTAATAGAGAGGAAAGAAACCGTAATATTTTTATTGAAATTAGCTTTTAATTAATTAATATAAAGGCTGACAAGTTTATGAAGATTTGTATGCAAATTTAATGTTCCCATTTGGAATTTTCAGTGTCATGTTTGAGGGTATACTTTTATTCTTTTTCTTTTTTATTTTCTTTCGTTTTTCTCATTTTGGTTAGTTTTTACTATGTTTAGTTACAAGGGTATGAAGTCGTACAGTATTACGTGACAAATTGATCTTCCAATTTGTATTGGATATTTTGTCATCCTGCGATATTTTCAAGTAGTTCATTTTTGTATTTTTATTAATGAAACAGTTATAAACAGATTTTAAAAATACGTAAAAAAACGCATATCACGCTTCCAAAATTGGAAAAAAGTTGATGCAGACGAACAATTTCTTTTAGGCAGAAAAATGTCCGTTCCTCTATCGTATTCTTTTAAGATGTTTTAAAAGGAAAATATCTATTGAAATTAACTGAATAACTTTAATGATAAACTAGTTTATTCAGCACTACATGAAGAAAAGAAATATTCTCACTTATAATCTTCAATATTCTGTTTGGGAAACATGTTTTTTTTAAACATTATAGACTAGAATTATTTGCTATTTTCAGAGCAGAATTTCAGAAGGCGTAGGTTGTGGACAATTGCTAGTACAAGTTAAAACAGGATTTAACAATACTTGAAAAATAGCAATCATGTTAAAACAATTAAATTTTTGAAATGAATTGTACCAGAGGTCGTACAGACATGAATGGTATTTAACATTTAAGCAACATTACCTTATGATGCTCTTTCCCTGCCTTTCCTTGCTTTAAATGTAACAAATTTATCGTGTACATTGCGTTTCATTATTGGTTCATTAATTATTGCTGTTTCTTTTAAAAATTATCCACATGTAGAAAAATCGTTTTGGTAGTTGAAAAGTCGATATCAGAAAGAATGTTATTCCTTAAGGAAGAGATTCCATTAGAAAGTACTATCTTGCAGAATGTGTCACAGTGCGGATCCTATTGCGATAAGTTAAGGATTTGAAACAGACTATTTATGTTTGCTCACACTATTTTTATAAAACTGACTAACTTTTGACTTACTGTTATAACTGTTTATTAAAAAATATTGATACATTAGAGCGTAAAATTGTTTTGGGTTGAACAAATCCGATTGACTCTCGATGGCTTTGAAGACATTTAATATGAACAATTTTTACCTTAAATTACCTGTAATTACTAAAATTACTTTTCTTTTAGACTTCACAAAATCCAAAAACGTTCTTAATTTGCCTAGAAAATAAACATAACCTGCTTAAAGGGATTTTCTTGGCACGATTTTCCATGTTGACCCATTGTTGATTAAAGTACGGATTATACAGAGTGATTGACAGACAACTACTCGTACTTCAAAGTTCGTCAGGTGCTTCTACACCTCAAATAAAAAAAATAAAGTTCGCACGAACCATGGTCCGATTCTCAACCGTTTTGCAGATATTCAGCATTTTATCTTTTTGTTCAACTATCTACGGTTTTTGACATATTATTTACTGGTGGCTGCTGAACTATTCATTTTTGGGGTAATCCGAAAAGAGCATTGAAAAGAGTGTTAAATTTACTTTTTGGAAAAGATTGTTCTAAAAGTAACTATATTTTCCAAAAGGTCAATTTCCTCACTCACCTCATTTCTAGAGCGTTAAATTTCTTTTAAGAAGGCACCCTATTAAAATTTTCAACTTCATTTTTACTACAAAAAAACCTAAATCTTTACAAACTTAACTTGCAACCTCGTTGTAAAAATTCTCGGTAGAGCTTGGCAAATTTCGTAACAACTTCTTTATTGAATAAGTTTTCTAGCGATACACCCTTTTCTTTAATTATACCGGACCAAAATGCAGAAATTTTACGAGGAAGAGGAGTCGCTGAAAAAACGGGGCGTGGGATTAATCTAGTAATTCAAATTTTCATATTTTTCCCCTGAGCAAAATTATTTACCAACTTTAACTTAATAACAAAGCATAAAGAGAGTAAAAAATTGAACAAACTCATAAAAAAGAGACAATGAACATAGAGAACAACCAAAACAGAAAAATATCTATACTATGCACAGGTTAAAAAAAGAACAACAATACAAAAGTTGTAAAATTCAACGTAACAATCAAACAAAACGCACTAAGAGACAATAAACGTAGTGAACAACCAAATCAAAATAATTACTTCATTTTTTAAGTTGGGTTTGTGTATTGTTTTTTCCCCTGTGTCTAGTGTAGATATTTTGTCTAATCTTTCATCTTTGGTTGTTCGCTATGTTTATTGTAGTTAAAGCTCTAAAACCCAATCTTAACATAATAAAAAAGCACAAAAAGGAAAAATTCCTTGCAATTTTTGAATGAACTGGTTTACTACTTAGATGTAAAACCATTTTCATATTAAGAATAATTATTCTTTCCGTAGAGATGTCAGTAGTATTCTAATAATCTTGTAGTAGGAATGAATTAAGTTTTTTCTATCTCACTGTACAACAGAATATTTATTGAAAAGTTTGCATGGACAGAAAAGCTGCTTTGGGTAAATTGAGTCGATGTTCATATTTATAATTAAAAAAAAAAATAATAAACGGGAAAACAAACAAAATCAGATGTACAAATGTTTAATCCCCCCATGTCTGTTATAATTGCGAGCACATTCAAGGAAAGACGGATCTGTAATTAAAATTGGTCGTTATACTTTATTGAAAATGTGATTAATGAACGCCGAAGGGAAAATTCTCGGTCAACCAGTGTTGAAAAAAGACCCCTCCCCAAGCAGTTAATCCACTCGGAAGGACTTTGCAAAAATTATAGACCTCGCTAAATAGCCTGTTCAAATTGTTTACCTTTAGGCATTTTTACCTCAATGAAAAGAAATTAGATCTATGAGGAGTCGACCTATTGCCTGAGCATTAATCACCTATCTGTAAATTACTCGTAAAGCTAGAGGGGCTCTCGTTGATCGACATTCGATCAAACTTGCAAATATCTGTCAAATTCAACTAGTTTACAACAAAAATTATATATTTTACTCTTGAGATATGCGTGGTGATGAACGGTAATGGGCTTGGTTGTTTTGTGACTTTTTGAGGGTTTTTTAAAAAGTTAAAAAATCACAACAATGAAATATGGCAGAGATTTGTTCACAAACCAACCACGTAAGTAAGGGGCCGATGAAAACCAGTCAGTTTCACTAGAAATACTACCATATATGTATATATTTATACAATATAATATAATACAATATAACAAAAAAATCATAATAATATTAAATACTAAATATTTATACAAAGAGAAGCGAGGAAAAGCTCATTTAGATTCTACAAACAATCAAACTAGATAACCAAACACTTCGGGCACACAACAATAATTAATAAAATAATACACCATTAGACATGAGGACTGACTACATGATCCCGGAAACACTTCAGCATTACACAAAAGACTTTACACAAAAGAAGAGAATTCAGGAGGACGTCAAATATAGCGTACGGATGGCTCAAAAATAAATGAAGGAACCTGATCAGGCGTTTTTTGAACAAACGCAAAACATTAGTAGTCAAAATCATTAGGGACGTACACATCGTTCTTTCAAGTTGAAAAACATGCTAATAACGCTTGTAGTTTAGACAATTAAAAGAGGTCATACTAACAAAAAAAAACCACATAAAATCATATAGGTAAGCAGATATAAAGCATTAGCATGTTAAGTACACATCAAAATTAGGAATGCATTCAAAGTCTACAACAACCTTGGGAAACAGTCTCACACAATCTTTGGTACCAGGACATAAGGATTTTTGTGTAATGAAAAAGCAGACCAGAGACACACTGGCCAGAGGTGGATCGCAAGACCTTATATAGTCCCTGCATGGATCTTATGATCTTGGGATAAGATGGTAAACAAAGACGGAATCTTCCATCACAGAATAGATCCTCAAAAGGCAAAATGAGAAGTGTAAAAAAAACAGGGATAGGAATTGTAGTCGTTGACCTGGTACTTCTTTGGAGAAGGATCGAGTCAGTTGCACTGAACTAAGGTACTAGGAGGCTGACGTGCTTGGGGAAAAAACAATCCACTTCCTAATATCCATCACCATCATCACCACTTAAGTTTGCGAAACGCGGATGGAAAATAATCGGAAATTACCAAAATACAAATGTTAAAAACTAGTAGTTCATGTAGATAATTTTAAATTAAAAAATCAGAGAAAGCCAATTTAAAAGAACAGAAAACGTTCAGTTCCACTGTCAAACATTTTAGGAATATATCCCCTTCCTCAGGACTTCGAAAATATTATTAATAATTCATAAGGTTAAATAAAAACATCGACTTACAATACTTACAATTATTTCACAGATAGTAAATTTCCAAGATGATAATAGGGCGAGATCTACAACCCATCCTTTCCATATCAGAATTCTGCTGATTTTTTTAAAACTTTCATTTTTAAACGGATTTATATCGTTATATCGTACACAAAATTTGAATTAATTTTCGGGTTGTTGACGGAAACAAAGTACTTTCAGAATATATTGCCTTAATACAAAGTACTTTCAGAATATATTGCCTTAATACAGACTTAAATTTTACAGTACGGTGAACTCGTTGTTAACCAAAGAAAATCCATTAATTCCTCCTTTATACGATAACGTAAAAGTGTGTAACGACCGTCAATTGAGAGCATTGCACACTTTTAGGGCTAAAAATTCATGTCAGATTGATCCCCATTGACATCCAAGTTGTGCGGGTTTAGTAGTTTAACATATGACATGATGTACACAGGGCAGATTTCATAAGTATTACTTAATACTTTCGTTTTAATTTTTTTTTTAATCGAGGGTTCGCAACAGCAGGTATTGCAGGTGTATCAACCCTCGGGGTGCTGCAAGGCCAGGCAATAAAGATTAAAATGTGGGCGTCGGTGGCCGCAACGGTTTAGGCGTTGACACGGCGCTCATGACTGTAAGGTCCCGGGTTCGAATCCAGCGGCCCTACATTCGAACCAGACATACTTACAAATGGTTTTTTTTTTCAAAAACACCGGCACCCCGAGGGTTGATATATCCTCTGCTGTTGCGAATCCTCGTAAAAACAAAATAATAATAATTTCGCAAGACTACAAATGTTGATTAATTACCTTTGTAATAATTTATCAACAATCTTGATTATTTTTCTATTTTTGTCGCTCTTAAAATCTTCCTTTGCTTCATAATAGATGGCATGTTATGTCATTAATTTTATTTCGTCCTTTATCGTCCTTTATGTACTTACGATCATATTAATCTTTAATCTTGTTTTCCAGGTGGAAGAGATACGGAAGATGATAGATAAAATACAGATGAATGTGGAGGAGGTGAAGAAAAAACACAGCGCCATACTCAGCGCTCCACAAACTGATGAAAGTAAGTTGATAATATTTTTCCTATCACTATGTAAAACTTTCAAATGACTTCAAATAACCTCATCGCCAACCATTTTCACAAGACAATGTACAATGAAAAGTCAATTTATTTGATTACTAAACTTTAGATGCTTTTCTTCCCCTTTACCTATTTTTATTAGATGACTGGTGAAATTATAATTAAACACCCATGTTTTGTCAGTGTTCTCTAAGATCATAGATTTTGGTTGAATGATTAAAATCGCTAAAATACGATAACCCCGGTTCGATTCAAGTCCTTCAAAGTGATAATTATTAGTCCAATAACAATAAAAGCCCCGACAACTCGTGAAATCTATTGTACGGAACGTAGATAGATCGGTATCATTAAAACATTGCTCGCTTCTCCAACAATAATGATTCAGATACAATATAGGCTTTATGAGACAAGTTAATTACAAGACCATTTAGGTCAATAAGGAAATTCCAATCTGGAAAAAGGAAACATTTCCTAACATTATTTTAATTGTTTCCTTAGGAATGGTATCGATGTTGGAACTTGAAAGATAACGTGCTATCATGACACAAAATACTTTTAAAAAAGTTAGACTTAAATTTTTATCGTTATGGTTATACACACAAAGTATCTGAAAATACTTTTTTCATAAGATGAAAAATGTATTTTTTTCATCTAGTTGGAGAGAGAAGAGAATCGTATCATGTTTTGCTTTTTGTTTACTCAAACAAACGTGCGTCGATCAGATTATATCGTGACTTTTCATGAAATATCGATACTTGAAAATCTGTCATTTGATGTGAATTGTTTTGTTCTCCGTTCTCCCTTCTCTCACACACTCTCTCTCACACACTCTCTCTCTCACTCTCTTTCTCTCTCACTCTCTCTCTCTCACTCTCTCTCTCTCTCTCACTCTCTCTCTCTCACTCTCTCTCTCTCTCACCTCTCTCTCTCTCTCACACACTCTCTCTCACACACTCTCTCTCTCTCTCTCTCTCTCTCTCTCTCTCGATTTAAATATGTTTTGTTTTTGATCATATTTTTTCTTAAACTGCAGCCATTGGAGCGCTCGATCTGATTACTCACTCTCTCACTCTCTGCTTTTACTACTTCCACTATGTCAATATCCTAAAATGCTATCCTCTCATTTGTACCTTGGAATTGTCAAATACAGATATACACATAAACATACATAATATAATATACATGAAACATCGATACACACATATGTACATGTCATATCACATCCTTTCACGATAATAAATTACATTCATTCCAGTAAATTACCTAGTATCCCTACTGGTTGGTGTAATTTTCTATGACCCACGAGCATATACATGGTTCCCTATGACTCACGGGCGGCCGAGTGACGTCCATTACATTCATTCCAGTAAATTACCTAGTATCCCTACTGGTTGGTGTAATTTTCTATGACCCACGAGCATATACATGGTTCCCTATGACTCACGGGCGGCCGAGTGACGTCCATTACATTCATTCCAGTAAATTACGTAAACACAACGGACACTACACATTCACTAAATACATTTAAAAATACGATTAATGCCCGCCGCCGTGCCCCAGCATTACGCACGAGCCTGACGATGTATCTATTTGTGAATATAATTGTTGATAGGATCATCATTTATAATGACTGATTTGGTAATTGTTAATGGTAATGTTAATTAACAAATTACATCAATTTGTAGTAGAAAGGTAGGTGAAAGCATCATTTTAACATGACATTTAAAGATGAGATTTAAAGAAAATGTTAATTACTCAGAATAACGCAATAAATAATTGCTGATAAATTAATACGATTTAAATTTAGACAGTATTACTGTTTTGTCTTATTATTATCGGTAGGAAGGAAATGTGGCCAGTTCAGCCATATTCTTCGACATTTTTATGTTGATAAAATTTTTCCACGTGAAATTTATTTAAAACAGTACGGGCCTTATTTACTCGGTAAATGAAAAAACTCCTAAATTTCTCAGAAGTGTTAAAGTATCTTTTAAGTCCCCAAAGAACTTTGTAAGTATTAAGCTCATTTACTTGTACTCGGTTGGGATTATGATAAAGCCGCTTGGAATTTTGAGAAGAAAAATAATGAGAAAATTGTTCACAGTTGAAATCCTGTTAAAGTTGAAACCTGCATTAAATCGATTTTATTTGTCTCTTTTTGCTTTCTTTATTCAACTTTAAAGAATTAAGGTTCAAATTCAAGAGGATTCACAAAGGTAGTGTTCCTTTTTTCGCGGAAAAACGCTCTTATGAGAATAAAGGAAAATTTCTCTTTGGGGAGTTTCACAAAGTTCCCCGGACTGGGGAAGGACGAAAAAGGGAAAGAGAAAGGGACGAGCTGGGTGGATGGAAAAACATTTTTCCGCTTTTCCATTTACAGGCCGGCTATCAAAAGGGGTTTAGCTGGCACAATGGCTTCAATTAGACTCCTTCGCCCTCCCGATAGAGCCCACATTTCAATGAATAAATAGGACCACAAAGCAGCCCACCGTTGTGGCGATAACACTATTGCGTTAATTTATATCCAAACATCTCGACATTTTCATTTAAAACAGTCTAGCCTGCAATATATTTAAAAAATAAATCAAGGGTCGTAAAATGTCCCTAACTGCTTCACTCTGACTTTTTTTAAATAGATTTGATTACTGGACTGACAATTTACTGTATTTTCATATAACCAGGTTTTACAGAGGAGGTTTACAAAATACAATACTGAAGAATTACAATATTAATGAATTCTACATATATTTATCAGGAGTGTTTTGCATCTTTTACATAACGCTTAACTTTAAATACGTATTAGCTAACTTACGGACACAACATATCAATTAACAACTTGAACCTTCGACTAAACAATAAAAAAAACAAGATGTACAAAAATCAGTGTTAAAGAAGAGAGCAAAAATAAAATCCTGGTTTGAAGGTTCAGACGCGTTTCGGCATTTCGCTAGCTTCAGTGAAATTGTAAAAATTAAATTAAAATGTCCCCCTTCATACAAAAGACCAAGTTTCAACACACTCAGTACAAAACAGTAAATTTCATTTATCCTTTACAAATGTTGAATAAAACAATCATATTTTCATTACCCGCGGTTAAGATAAATTAAAATCAATTGTAAATGTTATGGATTCTCAGACAACCTTATATTTTCATGAGGTTAAATACTGCAGTAAAGAACAGAAAACAATGTCAAAAACTAAAAATGTGCAAAACCGTGCAGTATTTTTAAAGTAAAACATGCAATAATCCTACTTCGTAAGTTACTGTAGTACACGTGCAAAACTTCACTAATCACTAATTAAAATCAGAGTAGTATTTGTAGTAAACACAAAAATTTTACTGTAAATAGTAAATGGGGTGAGTATGTAGATTCACTTTTTGTAAACGATGGTTCTAATCACAGAATTTGTAGTTTACAACTCTCCGGATTTTGAGCATTAAACGGTCATCACCAGGAAGCGAAATCTCAACTTTAACCTGTTGATGAGCGTTCAATGCTCAAATTCCGGATAGTTGTAAACTACAAATTCTGCGAGTAGAACCATCATTTACAAAGAACAGAGGGTTTTGGCGTTTCAACAGTCGAAAATCAAAGTAAATAATCACAAATCTATATGCACTCCTATTCGCAAAACTTTCCCTCTTGTCTATTTATACGGCACTCCAATTCCTCCAGCGAGTAGTATTATATTGGACTTTACTTAGACAAAGACTTACTTGGAATCCACACGAATAAAACTAGTTGACTTTACTTACCTTAGATATAAAATGCTAAAGACTTGACTATAGATCTAAACTGACAGTAAGTAACAAAAATGATGAATTAAATTAATCGCTCCAATTTGGTCTACGGATTTATTGCTCGTACCATTTGGTGGAAAAAACCTCCAGAGCTGATTCGAGGCATCCACCATAGTGGGCGCTTCAACTGCTTCGATTCCCACATAGCGCAGCGAGTTACACACAAGTTGGAAAATGCAAAACTGCAAGTCTCACATCTGATGGAATAAGCAAAGCTGCACTCGAGTCAGAGGGTACATTTGGATTCTAGCATTTCAATCTTAACAAAATCCAATCCCCCCAATCCAAAATCCTTCGTACAATAGTTGATGCTCTATTCTAATACCATCCATACTATCCACTCAAATCTCAATATACCCTTCGTCCCAAATCGTACCCACTCCCGCTACAATGAATTTCTCTCCAAACTATCATCTCGTGGCAACCCATTAATTCGCAACCTGTCCAGCTCAGCACTTCCTTCCAACCCTCATAGAAGGCTGAAGCGCACGTGGCCCCGCGACCATTTCATTGCGTACCATTAGGACTGTGTATGTCTATGGACTGCTATTGAATTCACGCCATAATGGCCAATTACACCCACTTTCACTGGATAGTGGACATTCAAATCAATCATACCAAACATGTGAATGTGCATTCACTATTGTGTATATGTATAACTTCGTAAATACATACCACAATTTTTGCTTGTTGCATTTAGTAAAAAAATTACTTTACAGATAATAGAACATTTTATATTAAATTGACTTAATTTTATCCCAGAATCAAATGGGTTTATAAGGCACTAAGCCCATGCTAACAAAATGTGCAAATCTGGTCTCAAAATTATAATGTTGTTACAATGATAAAAAACCCTAACCTTCACGACCTTCAAAGAGACATTTTCTTTAATTGCAACCTCATAAAATGTTTTTATATATTTTCTAATTAACATAATATGAGTTTACAACGAGAAACTAAATTAATTGCGATACATATTCTTAAGGATTTAAATTTAAAATACATTTTTTTTAGACAAAATGATGTCATTTTCATCCTCGAAATTTAAAAGTTTTTAACAAACTTTTCTCTCGTGTTGATAATGTGGGACCTCTTTAAGTATACTGAGTGAATTAGAAATATCTCCAGAATTGGCAGTCGGTTTCTGTAGCGAAAACGGTGGAAAATGCATAGCAGTACA